GTATACTTTTAAACAATACATATTCAAAATTGTCGTTTCTGGGGTACGGATGTTGCCAGCGACAGAATCTCGCGTCGGAGCCAGACTGCCAAAGAGCTTGAACACGACCCATGTGTCTCACGCCGCTTTTCCGAGTATGACGATGATACTGTTGTACTAAAGGACTGATGATGGAAGTGTCGACCGCTTTTTCTGCAAAGTATACACTGGTGATGTGTCAACCACTTCATCGAACATATAGTGTCATTGCCTTTAGCCAGCGGAAAAGAACCTCCTTTGCTAAAGCACAGGTGATGCTGGGGATGGTTCTGTTCTCCCAAACACCACAAGAATCTGGGATGCAAGCGTTTTTTAGCATCCCCAGCATCACCACCAAGGAATGCAGCAGCAACATTCCCAGCATCACCAGCTGGGCCTCTTACGTACATTATATACCGGATGTTTCAGCCAGGTTTACTCCACCGATGATGCAATGATAAGTTTAAAAAAGAATTGTTTGACGATAGTGACTCATGGTTTAATTATCAGTGTAATAATGATTTGTTGCCAGCCTTCCCGTGAGCGAGAAGGGGTCAACGAAAATAAAATAGCAAACTAACAGGGGTTGAAGTCAGATTCCAGAGCCCAGGATCTAAATCTGATTTTTAAAAAGATCTGACTTTGCCTGATCATTCCACTTGAAAGTGTCACTGCTAGGCGCCTCCCACTAGCAAAATGGGGTTGGTTCTAAAGCTCTTGCGCAATAAATTGAGTTGCTGCGCAGCTGCAGCTAGATTGCCCGATGCAATTCAACTGAGCCGGGAAGAAGAGGCGCCAGTGTTCAGTCGTGTTTTGACGAGGCAAACTTGTTTTGAACTTGAGTTTTGCAACGAGGCATCAAGCAAACACCCACCTTTGCAAGCTGCAACCCATGTGTCAAGCTGGGCTCGAGAAAGAAATTCATTGTGACTTGCATGTAAGAGGTGTTTTCTTTGGATAGAAGGGCCAACGAAACATCCCTCGAGCCATGAGCCTCTCCAAACCACGCAGATGCCGGGCAGCATTCACCGCTGCTGGTCTTTGGCTTTTGGTTATCCAGCAAACGGCTTTGCCAAGTCCTTGGATGCAGGTGGTTGAGCGCCCCGTACCTGAGGTTCTGCTTCCGCGCCGAAGACGCGCTCGGGCAGTTTGGGCTCCATTGCCTTCACCACATCAGGTTTGGGCGCACTCCTGCGTGAGCAAGCAAAAACTTGAACATGCCTTGCAGAACCCAGAGGTGACAGCTATCGAGGTGGACGTGGCTATGGGATACTTCACAGGAAATCCTGGTAAGAAGATGCCTGTCATGACTCATCCACCTCTTCTCACCTCAGATCTCACCTTTGAGGATTTCCTGGACAAGTTGATCGAAGACAAGCGGCGGCATGTGAAGTTCGACTTCAAGGATTTGGAATCCGTAGAGCGCTGCCTGCCTGTGTTGGCAGAGCGAAGCAGTGAACTGGCGCGCAACGGGCAAGCCGTTTGGCTGAATGCGGATGTGCTGCCTGGACCTGGTTTGAGGCGCTGGAGTTGTGCTGTTCCAGCAGAGGAGTTCTTGAGCAAAGCCGAGGAGTACTGCCCAGGTGCTCACTTGAGCCTTGGGTGGAAAGCCAACCCCGTGGGATTAGAGGCGTACAACGAAGCTGATTGCAAGGCGATGGCGCAGATCTGTAGACATCATGCCAAGCAGAATGTGGTCTTTGCAGTTGCGGCGCGCGCAGCAGCCCGGGATTTCCAACCCTTGGCAGATCTCTTGGCGCAGATACCAGGAAGCCAGCTGCTCTTTTGGACTGGTGCTTGGGAGCCCCCTTTGCTGAACACGACCCTTGTGAAGCTCCAAGAAAGCTTGGCGAACCATGGCTTGTTGCAACGATGTGGTTTCGACTGCCGCGTTCTGGATTCGTATTTCTCTTGCTTGGGTCCGATGCTTTCAGCTATTACAGAAGCCGGCAATGCATTGTTCCATGTTGTGGCAAAAACCATGTTTGCCTTCCAGTGATGCGAAGAAAAAGACTATGGCCGCATCGTTAACCATTTTTTCGGAGCACGGTGACTCGTGCTCGAATTTGTTTGTGCATGTGCATGTGCCGTCGGATCCTGTTTTGCGCCGTACTGTCGCACATTTTGGTGAAGCGCGTGGTGACCTGGTGCCACATGTTCATTCTCAATGACTGATGTGTTGGTATATGTTCTACCTCCCAACTCCGTCTTTGTCTTTTTGAGCCACAGGCGTGCTGAAGAAAAACGCATGCAGGGTCTTGCGGAGCCAGTTTTGGTCTTGTTACGGCAGAAGCGGCCTAATTGGTCTCTGCGCGTACTTGACATCTGGAGGGTCGTGGTGAAGGTCTTGGAGTCTTACTTGGCACAACGGGAGAAGTTAAGACTCATGTGTCTAGTGACCCATGTCCCTCCTTAGCAGGCAATGGCAGTTTTCACTCAAGTTTTGTCCGACAGAACCGCCAGTGTCCGATTGACAGGACAGCGTTTCTAGAGTCGGAGGGGCAGTGGCTTGCAATGCTCAATAAGAGCTCTAGAGAGACTGTGCTTCTGCCCGGGTGCATGTTTTTGCTGAGGCGCGTTTTCTTCCAACAGAAGCCTTGTAGCTTTTGTCAAGGGTTGAACTATGCCAGATTCATGATGAAGTCCCACGATGGAGAAAGATTGAAGGACTTACTTCTGCATGCTTTACGTATTGTTCTTCTTTAAAGGTAGTTCAACCGATTTTGGGGCCTTCGTCCCACTGACACGAGCGTGAGCAGTGCCTCGGCTGTGGCCGGATGGGAAAACATGAAGATGTCTGCTTGTGATCCGCTTGAGCTTTCGAATCTTAGTCTGCTCGTTTGCACCCCCGATCCTTTTCAGCTTGATTTTTGTCATTTGAAAGCCGCGTGTACCTGTGACTCCTGACCTTATCTAATTTAGATGCTTTGCGTGACTCTTCTTGTCTCTCCTTGACTGGCTGATGGCACGATTGCAATTCTTTTCGGTGTGCTGGTCCTCTTCCTTGCTCATCTCACGTTGTCGGGGTGGGCTTGGAGTCTTGCGTCCGCAATGAAAATCATCGACTCCCAAACTCTTGTGCTTTTTCATTTTCTAAAGTGTCATGTAGGCAAGTTTGGCATATTATACATTCGGCGTGCGTGTGTGCGTGTGTGCGTGTGTGCGTGTGTGCGTGTGTGTGTGTGTGTGTGTGCTGAGCCCTGCAGTCCTCAACGGCCATTGGGTCACTTGCCTTCAAAACATGAGATGTCTGAGAGGTGCCCAGAAGCTCGGTTTTGCTATTGATTAACACGGGAGTTGGGCCAAGATTTGATCACGTTCATGTACTTAACGCGCCATGATCAAGACGATTGGCATGAGCTCGTGTTCGACATCGCCACGCAGCTCGAATCAGACGGGCAAGCAGCCCCAGGGCTGAAGCCCAAGGCACAACGAACCGTGCACCTGGCGCCCTTTTTTAGGGAAGACATGGCGCCGGTTCTCTTGTTTTGCTGACCCAGACTTCACCAACCCAGACTTCGAGGCTTACAATTAGCGAGGCTTCGAACCCCACTGTACCCTGCTTGCTTAGTACTTTTTTTTCGAGGAGCCTGTTTGTTGAAGGACTACCTAAAAGGTCCATCCTTGCTTGCTTAGTGTGGTGGAATATGTGGCGCGCCACGGCAGCCGTGCTTCTGGTGGGCGCACAAGGCGCCTTTGAGAACATGGGCGCAGGGCCGCTTGGCAGAAGTGCCGGGTCAGTGCTGGTTAAGTAACTCCTGAATTTCTTTCGGGCGCTCGTCTGGAGGTAGGTCCTTTACTAGGGGATTCCGTGTGTCATATTTCTATATTTTACATTTTCATATTTTGGACTTATCGTAGAATTTTCAGAGTATTTCGATCCTGAGTTTTGGCTGCTGTTCATGGTAAGTGAGAACCAAACGAACGATTTTCTTCCGCTGAGCTGCAAACAGTGGCGGTGAGTACCAACTCCTCTGACATGCTGACGCTCATCCCTTACGGGCACGCATCCAAGTCGCATCCCACCGCCTGATTGAGTCGCAACACGTGGCATTGCAGGCAGAGATTGCTGGGAGTTGCACCACGGCGTAATAGGCACAGGCCGTCTCTGCATATGTGTACATACATCTCTATGTGTACATACACATAGTATTCCACGAGACTGGCTAGCGCTTCAATCAAACATCAGTGAAGGGCGTCCGATTTGTCTTACTTCTATGGCAGGCAAGCGCAGCGTCCAGGGCTGACTGAGTGAAACTGGTGTGGCCCGTTTGTAGGTCACTCGTTGAATCCTCAGTGAAGCTATCTCATTCACAACAGACCATTCTCATCACCACATTCCCAGTCATCCAGCGGGCCAGCAAACGGAAATGCTTGCGTGCTCAGGTGCTTCTCATGGAGTCATGGGTTTATTCCTTGCCACCGCCTTGAGAAAGAGGGGAGCGAAGTGGTAGCCGTGGTTTGTAAACTACGCCATGGTTGGTTCCCAAGTGGGATGCCAGGGCCCCCGACCGACAAGTACACTGCCCCGCGAAGAACTGGAGGTACAGCGTAGGGATGGTTGATGTCAGACGAGTTTGTCACCTTCGCATTTGGGGTCCCTTGAGATCGATGTTGCATTCCCAGGTATCGGCAAATGACGGGACCTGGGCTTGAACCTTCTTAGTAAACTTGGCTTGAACCTGGTTTATTCCCCCCCCCCTCCCCCCCCCCTCCCCTCCCCCTCCCCTCATGCCACGCTTTGCAAGCGCTGAGGTTTTGCATGGATTCTCAGCGCCTTGGTCAATCCAGCGGATAGGGATGCGCTGGGTACCCAAGCCGGGGTCATAAGTATTTGTTGTGCCCTTTGGTGGACATCATTTAGGTGGGGATGCATGTACATCAACCACTGAGGTGGTTGTTCCCTATCAATATTCATAGCGTTGGGGGGGGGGCGGGGTCAAGTGGCAAGCGGCACTTTCGACCGGCTTCTGCTCTGCGGCAAAGCCAGACGCAGTCAGGATCTAATCCAAACATTCCAAGCCTAAAGCTTGAAGCGGATCTGCAGCCGTTTCAAGGAACATCTACTACGACAGCTTCACCGCGCAGCCTGGGGAGCTGGGCTACGACGGGCTGCGGTCCACCTGCCGCCAGCGCTCCGACACGGAGCCGCAGAGCCCCGGCTTCGCCTTCGGCACCGGCGGCGAGTGCTCGGCACCTCGGCGCGGCCGAAGCGCCGAGGGGCCCTACCAAGGTTCTCAGAGATTTAAGACTTCCATGGACGGATTTCGGATTCGGATGTTAGGATTGCCAAAGTTTCAAGGGCAATTGGGGGACAAGTGATTTGGGAGAGACATGAGGCTCCCCCATGCCAACAAGGCTCTCAGAGCCCGAAGAACTCCTAACCTTTCGGGGGGTGGAGCCACGGCTTTCGGGGGTCACCCGATTTTCACGCATAGTGGCGTGTAGTGGATTCCACCCATCTAAACATGGACCCAAACTAATTCCTTGAAGGTTGGGGCAAGACGAGCGAACACAAATGATGGTCCGTGTCAGCCGAGGTGTACATGAACAACGGCAATACCCCAAGCAGCTTCCAGGCGGCTGGGAAAGCACCAGCAGCTCTGCATGAATTGTCGAATTGTCGTGAAATCTCTTGGGATTCCTTGCGGTTTTGATTGCGTAGGAGAATCGGGAGCTCCCAGTTTGAACTGAGCTTATCCCATCAAACGCGTTGCTTTCCCATGTCAACCATCCCAGCCACAGCCAATTATTCCATGACATGGGCCGAACGAAATGTGCCGCGGCCAGGTGCCGCCAGCTGGGAGGGTCACAACCAACTGGGGCAGCGGCAGTGTGAAGCAGGCCTGGAATGGCCTGTTCGAATGACCTGAAGCTGCAAGAAGGTGGGCCAAAATAGGGATTCGAACCCCCAAGAAAGCGGCGGCTGTCTTTTTTTTGCGAATGCGCAGCAGAAGGGTTGCCGTTTAACGGCTGGGGTTCGGGGGGTCAGGAGGTGATCCACACGCGTCAGTAAAGCGTTCGCAAAGCGTTTGTGACGGTCGTAGCGTTCGCGAGTGTCACGATTGGGGAGTCGGAAGAAGAAGTGCTTGGAATGTCTCGGGACCTGCTGGTTTGAATGCGCCTGTGCGTGGTTGATCTGGTTGGGTGCGTCTTTGGCGATGGCTTTGGGCTGTCGCGGCTTGCTTGGCCCGGCCACAGCGCCCAAAGCTATCGCGCTGGGTGTGACATTTCGAGTCAATGCATGACTCGGACACACAGGGATAGCCATAGCCTGGCAGAGCCTAGGAGGGGGAAGCAGTGAAACCTGCCTTGAGCCAGTTGCACGGTTGTAGAACATTGGGGTGCAGGATTTAGGATCGCTTTCTGCGATACCAAGAGAAAGCCTGCTTTGGTATCACAGACGTGATTCTCCACGTTGATGGCAAGTTGAATGCAGCTGACTTTGGCGTGCCAATTCAGAGCCACAGCAAGGGGGAACCATTGCAGTCGAATAGTTGCTATGAGTGACTACCTGTGACTAGCGCAGAGTTGTTCTTTTCATGTGAGGCAGGTTTAGGTGCAGGACCTAAAGCCAAGAAGCAAAACCGGGGGGGGGGGGGGGACTTGCATTTCATGTGGGCTGATGTCAGCTAGATATATATACATATATATATATATATATTCCTATCTAAGTTCGTCTACCACGGGCAACTGGAACTAAGGCGTTGCATTGCCCGATATTTGTGGGCCCAGCCGCTAATTTAGACAACGTTCCGCTGTTCTGCTCCCAAAAGAGATGCAGAAATTAAAAACACCAACTTAGGGTCACAGCAACGGGTCTGTCAGTAGCAGTATCATTAAGGACAGCCCCGTGTCAGGCACAATTGAGGACCATTAAGAATCATTTTGTGGCTCTTGTCGAAAGAGTTGGACACGAAGGCGTCCGGGCACACCTTCGACTTCACCTGCTTCAAGAAGCTGCCGCCGACCACGACCACAGCCCCTGCCGGACCAACTTCTACAGCCCCAAGCACCACCACCACCACCACGACTACAACCACCACGACCACAACCAAAGCAGCAGGTGACTGGGCTGGCCCCTGTTGGTGGCGTTGTGATTGGGCCATTGGAAAGGCGTGAATTGACAACCAAATTGTGGGTTCATACCAGTGCAGATATCTGTGCTAATCAGGAGCTGGGGGTGAAGCGAGCTCACCATGAAGGTCCTTTGGAGATGATTTCCGATTCGCATTTTTTTTTTGAAATTTGCTCTGATTGGTGCTGGCTTGTGCCCATTTACTGCATGTGGTGCTTCACCAGGAGGGCTCCCCGCACAAGTGAATCAGCATAGATGATATTCTTAGCTTTAAACAACGAGTGCAATATCACAGTGGCGCGCAGAGTTCCACGGACTGCAAAATTTGAAGTTGCTGCAGAACCTTCCCTGAAAAGGCGCACTGCGCGTCTTGGCTCCAGGCACAGCTGCCGCCTACACCGTTGCCCAAGACTCCTGGTGCTCGAATGTTCCAGCGCCGCACGACCCATCCCTCTCCGCGGCTCGGAGTGGGTGTGACCTGGGGGGTTTGTGGGCTGCATGCCTTCAAAAGATGAACCCTCGAGAGTAGACAAATCAAATTCTCTCGTTTTCCTGGGCCAGGGATTGAGTGTCTCTCCATACCCGTGGCGTTTGTTTACGAGGCTTCCTACAGATCAACCCTCGCTTGGGCACAGGCCCGGTAGGGGAGCTATTTGCGGAACGATTTGCCGAACGGGTGGCTGACGTCCATTTGCGTGGACAGACTCGCTTTCGGGACTCTGCCGCTGCTAAGACGAGAGACCCAGAGGGTTTATTCGAGACTGACCATTTGATTCAATTGGTCACAAGCTTTGCTTAACTGGAGCTATGTCGACACATCATGTGACAACTTCAGTATCTTCCCTGATTCTGGCATGAAACCAGCATCAGGAATTGCAAAGGAAGCAACAACAAGTCCTGTGATGTGTCGCACAATTCCTTCTGGCTACCTCATCAAGGCCTTGCTTCATCCTTGGACACAGATTCCAGGTTGGTTGCTCTGGGACATCAGATGGGTAAAATGACGCAGCCTACTCTTGCCTGACCTTACAGAGGGAGCATGGAGAACGTGACTTTGATTGTTTTAGTTTGCTATTGCTTTAGTTTGCAATCCCAACATACCACTTGACCCAACTAGTTTCGGTTTCACAATGTCCAAATCCAAGCTTGTAGTTCGGGGTTTGCGCCATGTTTGGCAGCAGGACCTTGTATTCGACTTTGTCTGCAAATAGGCCCTCCAAATTGGGCTTTTGTTTTGGTGGTCCCTTCGGTTACCTCTTGTACCAGGTACAAAGGAAGAGAAGCAAAACATCCCTGCCCCATGCCCGCGCACCTTTTTGGTCAAGTTGGCTGCCGCAGTCAAGCTGGCAGGTGGAGCGTCCTTTTTTTTCTTTCTTTCTTTCTTTCTTTCTTTCTTTCTTTCTTTCCTTCTGTCTGTCTGTCTGTCTGTCTGTCTGTCTGTTTGTCTGTCTGTCTGTCTGTCTGTCTGTCTGTCTGTCTGTCTGAACGCCCCAGCTGAAAACCTTCTACTTGCAAACCCTCGTGTGCCTTTCCGTTCCTTTCCCGCACTCGCACACCCTGCTCTTTTTCCATGCACGATGGACAGCTGGCGGTGTCGTGCGGCGGCCTGGACTGGGACGCCAACATGACGAGCGCACGAAGCAAAGCCACTGCAAGCGCCGAGTGTGCGCGTGCGTTTTTGCTCTGCAGGCCAGCAACTCTGTGACCAGGCACGTCTGACGCCAGCCTGGATGGCGCTACTATGCACTTGCGCTACGCACTGGCACTATGCACTGGCACTATGCGCTACTATGCACTGGCGCTCCTATGCACACTCTGCACTGCACCGCAAGGCGAACTTAATCTATCAATCTATCACCTGACCTTCTCAAGTGCTGCGGTACTTCACCTTGCGAAAGTGTTGCGCCTGCCACGAAATCTGTACTTGACCTTGCATGGGAGCAAAATGTATGCGCCTGCCACGAAATCTGCGCTGCGCTTGCCACGCGATTTGCACCTCTTAAGCAGTCTGCGCGGCCGTGCCATTGGGGAACTTTCCGACCCCGTGGCGAGACCGTGCGCAAAACAGGGCTTGCCTTCGCGTGTTTCGCATGTGGGATATGACGGAAGTTTTCTAACTAAACTTCCTTTGATAACGCTAGTCAAAAGGTGTTTCTAGAAGAATCAACCCAATTGAAGCCCACTGTGACCTTGTGCCCCTATGGTCCCAACCCCAACCTTTGGTTTTTGCAATCCCCTGATTCTTTCTTTCATTGTCAAGGTTTGTTTTTATGGACAGACCTCTCAAGCCAAACGAGTATTCGTGGGTCATTGGCGAATCCAGCAACGATTCATACATGCGTTCACAAGAGCAACTGACAAAATCGTTGGTAGTTGACTGCTGGTTTGGAGAGGATGTGGGGGCATGCCAAACTCCCCGCAAAAACCCAGGTCACGCCCCAATTCTGAAGGGACACCAGGGATTCATGCGTCTACTGTACATATGTATTTCTACACCTGGTATAGGCAAAGGGAGCACCTGGAACACAGAAGGGAGTTCACTAAAGAACCTGCCTTGAGGACAATGCCGTGGTGTTGGGCTCTTACACTTCCCTGGATGCTTGCTGGCAGAGTTGCGGCGTGGATGGCTCCTGTATGGCCTGCACGCACCGATGCACCGACGGCTCGGCAGGCAACGGGATCAGCGGGTAGCTGCAGGGCCGTGGATTGTGTCCATCTACGTTTTGACCCAGTGATATCCTGAAAAGGTGGGCTTGAAAGGGAACCCGGGTCCCAAAAGTGATTTTGAGATTCCCTCAAAATGAAACATTAAGGGACCACGGCCAGGGCCATGGGCAACATTTCTATCCGAGTGTCCCCAATCCCGCAAAAAACAAACGGAGTATCATGGTTTTGCAGTACTTCAGGGATCATGGGGAATCTTTCTGTAGATACATCTTCGGCAGGGGCAATAGAGGAAATTCCATGGGTTGGGGTGAGGCTTGCTTTGAATGTAAACGGAACCTCCTAGGGTCCCAATTTTGGAACTCTGTGCCCAGCTTGCCCTGAGATCGATGCTACCCATCAGGCCGCTTGGCTGAAAACGAGGATTCGGCCAGCACTTAAAGGACTGTCGCTATCCTGCCTCATCCTTTGAAGTCAAATGAGACAAGTGAGACAAGGCCGGCCTGGCGCAGCCAGTTTAGCTTGTCAAGTTTGTCAATTTTGTCAAGTTTGTCGAAGGCAAGAGTCCCACATTGCCTTGACACTTGCATGTCCTGCTTGTGCCTTAGGTGGTTTTGATTGAATGCGTGGAGTGGACTCCTGTTGATTCGGGGATGGCACATCTTGATTGATTTGGGGCTCCTAATCATCACAGTTCAGTTGCATTGTTTGCTCGCGGTTCTATTCGGAGGCACCTGGCTGAGCATATGTTTGTCCTGTCCGAGGGCATCCTTTCTTGGGGTTGGAGACATTTTGTCATTTTGTTCAGAGAATCTAGGGTACATTCGATTTGTTTTTTCCCTGCTTTGAAGGCAGCCCAAAGGGAAGCCAAGCATTTCAGGGGTTCCATTGTTTGCATAGCGCCGTAAACGCAGATTAAGCACTTGGTCAGAAGCCATCAATGGCCTAAGTTGCTGGCAAGGCTTGCTTGTTTGGGGAGACATATGTTTGTCTTTGGGCAAGGCTTATTTAGAGGCACATAAAAGGGAAGCCAAACATTCCAGGGTTCCCCGATTTGTTCTCAGCAATGTTTCTGGGGGTTGGACACATTGGACTTGGGGAAGGGAGCATACATATCATTTGGAGGCCCAATTAAAGCAATGCCGCCCAGTTGGGTTCAACGTTTTCATCCCTTCGCGGACGGCAGCCAGTTTTAGGGGTGAAATTCGGTTGAAGATGTCAGCATTTCAGACGTGTCCAACCCATTTGGAGATCAACTGGCACTCGTCACTCGGTTCTGACAACCCGAGACTGCACGGTGCTGGCGGTGTCTTCGTGCTCCGCCCGCGTAGGGAGCTCCTGTGGCGCTGCCACCTGGCGATGCTCGGATGGCGCTGGGAGCGCTAGCTCAAGGGCTTCGGGGGTTCCACGGGTTGCCGTTTTGTGGGATACCAAGGGAACCCCGTCCAAAACAACAGAATCGTCACAGGGATAACCCCACTTTGGTAAATAAAGGGTCATTTCAAGTTATTTCCCACAGCCATGTGTGGTTCTGAGTCTCCCAACGAATTCTCTGAAGTGCTCTTAAACAATGACTACCACCAAATCAGTTTGCCGTTCCTAAATGACGATCCATGAACCCATGGTTCCATTTTCAATGATTACTCTTGTGATGATGACACACCCAAATGCACTCTGGTCAAAGTCCCTTCGACTTGGGTAGGGGTGGTCATCAAACCCTTTGGCTTTTGACAACCTCCGCATTTACCATGGATGATCAATTGAAGGTCAACGTGCTTCCCAAAGAAACATTTCCGTCACCTTTTTGCTTTGCCCCTTTGATTCCATGAACATGCTGGCATTGAGGTTTGTTTGGTTTTGAGGAAGTGTCCTCCAATTGGCACCCCTTTGTGCGAGAAAGCTTGAATAGGGGCTCGTTTTGGCAGCATTTGCTGGTCTTTGAAAGGTCGGGGTGACCAAAGCACATCGGGGTCTCCTTTGGTTTCAGCCATTTTTCTTCCCAAGGGCCCGAGAGAATTGGTGAACGGCTTCCTTTGAGCTCCTTAGCACCGATTGGAGCAACAGAGATTCCCGCGGCTGATATTCTGAAGTGGGAAGGCCTGCTCATGTTTCTTTCTGGAGGATGGTTTCTTGTTGGCGGTTTGTCTCATTTAGGAAAGCTGACAGTCTCTGATTGTTCTAGGCTAGGAAAGCTGACTTGGTTTTTCCAAGGTTTTTTTTTGGTGGATATCTCTCACTCGTTTTTAGTACCTGTCCACCCTCTGTATTTTCTTAGGAAAAGCAGCAGTGGACAGTGACCCGATGTTGGCCATGCGGATCGTCCTGATCGTGGTCTCGGTCATTATGCTGGCAGGCGCTCTGCTGTTGTCAGCAACTGCAGCTGCCGGCTTCACGCAATGCGCAAACAAGATGTGTCGATTCACGTGAATCGCATTGAGTGCTGTGGTGTGAGGTTGCATGAAGTTTCTTGAGGGTGGATGAGGTTTGATGGCCTACCCTGTACTGTGCACATAGACTTTGCCAAATACCGTCATTTGTCAAATGTTCAAAGACGCCAACTGATTTGCATGTTCTTGGAGTGGTAAGAATCCATTGTTAATCTGTGGTTTCACTGGGGGCTGCCCTGGTTTTTCCCACAGCTGGGCCTCCTTTCTGGTCACTACATACAACGGATTCACTTGAAGAAGGCACATGTGAGCCAGCATGTTTGCACTGTGAGTTGTTGCCATCAAAGGCTTTGGAAATTGGCCTTACTCAAAGGTGGAAGCCAGTCAAGGGCGGTGCTTGAAGCAGACGCCAACTTGAATGGGGAACTGGCTTTGTGATGTGGGGGTTCATACAGAGGAAGGGCACAACCCCGCACCAGTTCGTAGAGGGTCTATCCCGAAGGAAGACAAATCAATGTCACATATTGAAACAAACACACATCAGGAAACACAAACGAAGGGGTAGAATGTCACAGCTTGGTTCATTGTTTATTGCACCCTTGTTGTCCACGGCCGCTGTTTCGTCAGTCGCAGTCGATCAATTTAGCAAGGTGCTCGGGCCCCCAAAGTCAGGGCATCTCTACAAGAGACTACCACTAAGTAAGGAACCGTGACCGGATCTAGTGTCTTGGGCGCATTTGGGATGGGATTCAGGCATTGCGGGCGTCTACTGTCGCTTGCCTGCAGTGAATATATGGAGAGGTTGGATTGATCCGCTCGGCATAACGCAGCGAGTTCACCAGCTAGATTGCCTGGAACCCATGATGCGGCACCCAGCTGTGATGCAAGCAAGGAACTCTAGCCCCAGTGTGGGGGATGTAGTGAGGCTCTATATAAACACATGGATTTTCTTGAAATCAGGGACCCGCCAGACAGGTGATGTTCTTTTGGTTTTCCTTCAACCTCAAAGGGAAAGGGCCCTTATTTAAATGGGCCTTGGGTTGAATGTATTCATAAAGCTTCGTAGGTTGCCTACCTGCCGCACCCGCGACGAACACCCGCTCACTGAACCCTCCCAAGCCCCAACCAAAGCAAATTCTTGCTGCCAAAGCCCTTGCAACTTGCTTGCTTGATCGAAAAGCCCCCCCCCCCCCCACCCCCCAGCACCCGCCCCGCATGGTCCGCGGCCCAACGTCTTAGCAACGAGCCAGAAGAACGCCGAGAGCTTTAGTAACTCGCTCGACAACGTTTCCGTTCCGATGTTGAGCGCATCTGTGGCAAACTTGCATGCAAGTGCTTCAGTAGCCTGATGTTTGCCAAAAATTGGTCGCACGTCACCCAGACCACTGGAAAATCCGCTGCCTGCGCAAACTCACTTGGTTACAGGCCGCTGAACATGCATGGCGCAGTTTTGTTTGGCAAGGCCTGAGGCGGATGGATGATGTCATAGTCTCGGGTTTGGCCTGCTGTGATCTGCGCGTGAGATGCTAAAATGGAACACACGCCAGGTCCTTGACCATGCGGTGATGTCTAGCTCTGGCTCGTCAAACATGATGTTAAGAATGTGGAACAACGGGCCCCGCGCTATTTGGCAGCATTCGCGCTCCGCCCTGCCGCTGCGCTTGCTCAATCAGCTGCGAGACGAATAGCCTGGCCTTCCGGGCGTGCCCTGGGCTGGCTCCATCCACTTCTTGCGCCACCTGGCGAAGAGCTGCGTTTTCTCTGGCAAAGGCTGCCCTTAACAGGCGTCCGCTTCTTCCAGCCTCCCTTGCCATCTGGCTTGGCCCTGTGACCGTCTTCAGCAACAGGCAGCAGGTGGTCAATGGTTCTGGATCGCCCGCTGGCGTTGCTGGCTATGGCCTGAAGTCTCAAGCTGTTTGCTCGGTGCTTCAAGTGTCGCTGCAGTTGATAGTGTCGCGCTTTGTGACAAAGACGCCTTCCCCATCGGCCCAGCCAGGGCCTGACTCTTCCAGCCTGAGGGGCTGCCGGAGCTTCAGCGGATGCTGCGGCAATGCGGGCCATGTCCATCAAAGAAGGCATGGCCACCCAAGTCACTCGTAGAAGGTGGCAGGGATTGGCCCTCCATGGGCACGAGCTACGAGTCTGAGCCGCCAAGCCGAGGCCAAAAAGGCATGCGGCGCACGCGTAAGCGTTACTCAAAGCCATAAAGTGTAAAGCCTTGTCAAGCAAACTAGCCGTCACAAATGGATGTACCAACGTGTTTCTAGACAAATAAACGTATGTTTTTCGGATCCAGAATGTTTCCCCGCACTTGTTGCAGCAACTGTTGCCGCACGCGTGGCTTCTCAACCAAGTGCTGGTTTTAGAGGGTTAAGGGCCCAAGGGTTGCAACACATTACATGTTTGTCTACAACAGTTGCTTTATGCGCCCAGTGTTGGATACACGTTGGTGGTAACATTTGTTTTATACGCTGGCACTGTACCAAGCCTCGTGAAACAACTGTTGCAACAATTGCTTGGACAACAAGGTTTTGCAAAAAACAATTGTTGCAACAAATGTATTGCAAACAAGGTCTTGCAAAAAGCACTTGTTGCAACAGTTGTTTTGACAAACAATACTTTACAAACCAATTGTTGCAGCACACGCGTTGAAAAGAAGGTGTTTCAACAATAATTGCTGCAACAATTGATTGGAAAACAACATATTGCAAAACAATTGTCACACCAACTGTTTGAGCTTCAGGGTGTTGTCACAAAAAATCGGGCCCCGCGCTATTTGGCAGCATTCGCGCTCCGCCCTGCCGCTGCGCTTGCTCAATCAGCTGCGAGACGAATAGCCTGGCCTTCCGGGCGTGCCCTGGGCTGGCTCCATCCACTTCTTGCGCCACCTGGCGAAGAGCTGCGTTTTCTCTGGCAAAGGCTGCCCTTAACAGGCGTCCGCTTCTTCCAGCCTCCCTTGCCATCTGGCTTGGCCCTGTGACCGTCTTCAGCAACAGGCAGCAGGTGGTCAATGGTTCTGGATCGCCCGCTGGCGTTGCTGGCTATGGCCTGAAGTCTCAAGCTGTTTGCTCGGTGCTTCAAGTGTCGCTGCAGTTGATAGTGTCGCGCTTTGTGACAAATACGCCTTCCCCATCGGCCCAGCCAGGGCCTGACTCTTCCAGCCTGAGGGGCTGCCGGAGCTTCAGCGGATGCTGCGGCAATGCGGGCCATGTCCATCAAAGAAGGCATGGCCACCCAAGTCACTCGTAGAAGGTGGCAGGGATTGGCCCTCCATGGGCACGAGCTACGAGTCTGAGCCGCCAAGCCGAGGCCAAAAAGGCATGCGGCGCACGCGTAAGCGTTACTCAAAGCCATAAAGTGTAAAGCCTTGTCAAGCAAACTAGCCGTCACAAATGGATGTACCAACGTGTTTCTAGACAAATAAACGTATGTTTTTCGGATCCAGAATGTTTCCCCGCACTTGTTGCAGCAACTGTTGCCGCACGCGTGGCTTCTCAACCAAGTGCTGGTTTTAGAGGGTTAAGGGCCCAAGGGTTGCAACACATTACATGTTTGTCTACAACAGTTGCTTTATGCGCCCAGTGTTGGATACACGTTGGTGGTAACATTTGTTTTATACGCTGGCACTGTACCAAGCCTCGTGAAACAACTGTTGCAACAATTGCTTGGACAACAAGGTTTTGCAAAAAACAATTGTTGCAACAAATGTATTGCAAACAAGGTCTTGCAAAAAGCACTTGTTGCAACAGTTGTTTTGACAAACAATACTTTACAAACCAATTGTTGCAGCACACGCGTTGAAAAGAAGGTGTTTCAAAAATAATTGCTGCAACAATTGATTGGAAAACAACATATTGCAAAACAATTGTCACACCAACTGTTTGAGCTTCAGGGTGTTGTCACAAAAAATCAATTGGGTCCTCGCAGAAGCTCTTTTGAATACATTCAAGCCTTGGGTTTAAGTCTAGCTTGGGGTTCACTCAAAAATTGGAACCTTGGCGGGTGGAACATGCCGAACATGCCCTTAGATAAGGATGAAGTTTCATCCACCCTTCTGGCTTTGTAGCCAGCCTTCCATTTCCCTCAACATATTGTTACTTTCCTCAAGAAGCAACACGTTGTCACTTTTTCGGACCAACCAACTCCCTCGCCTAAGGCTGGGTGCATCGACGCCAAAAGAAAACCACAACCACCCCCACCGTGCCGCTCACCGCCGGTGCAAGTGTGGCGCCGGCGTGCCTCGGCGAGGGCACCGGTCCCAAAGAACTGAAGCACGAAGAAAGTGACAAAGTAGTCGTAAGGGTGTATCATGGTAAGGGTTGTGAAAAAGTAGCCATGGAGCCCTTTTTTTTTGTTTGGGAAAGATGTTGACCTCTGAGTTAGAGAGGAAGTATTTAGCATGGAAACCCAGCTTTTCAACATATACCCTCAACAAAGCAAGTATTTGGAGTAGGGGGTGGAAGTGTGTCCGACCTCTATCAGAGCAGGAAGGATCTCTGATATTCTTTAAAAAACACCTGAAGATCGTAGAAACGTTCAGCCCAGACATTTTGGACATGAGCAGCGCCCAAACCCGCTGTTGACCATTTTACAATGGGTTCTACTACCCGGCTTCATGGCTGTCAAAGTAAGGCCCCTTCATAGGCTTGTTGGCAGAACCATCCATCAGCGGGGTTGAGCATTGGAGCATTGCTCAAATGAGGAAATCCAAAGGCCTTGCCGCATGATGCGACGAGGTGCAAAGCGCCTGCCGCAACTGTCGGGGCCGCCACGACCTCCACGAAGGTCGGAGCGGACCGGTGGCACGCGGAAAGCTGAGCAGTCGGACCTTGCCCCCCCCCTCCCCCCCCGGTGCTGTCGGATCATTCAACCTGTCAGATTAATCTTCCTATGTTATGGCAAGCTCACCTTGGGCTAGAACGAGCTCACCATGACGCAGGTCCTTTGCCTGGGGATACCTTATTTCAGGTTTTTTGGAATTATTGTGGCATTTGCGGATGTATTGGTGTTGCGCTTTTTGTGTGTTGCCCCAAAAAGAAAAGGATCCCCTCATCGATGGTGCTCATTCTTTGGCAGCTTGGAAGGTTCTGAGGCACAGGTCTGAGCCTCGCCCAGGAAGGAAGCCCTCCCTCTTTGGGTTTCCTTAATTTCCATTGTTCCAAGTTCGCTCCTCCCTCTGAGAGAGGGTTTTACCTTTGGCAATATTTGGACACAGGCAGTTTCTTCATGCGTAAACCAGCTGATTTCGAGGATCCTCTTTTGTTTCCGGTGATTTTGCATGTATTGCTGGGTATGTTTCAAAATAGGGGAACCCCAAAAGCTGGTGGTTTTCCTTTTGTGCCTCCGTTGAACCAGGGTGAAGTGGGTACCGAGCTTCAATTAAGCACACCTACTTTGGGGCACCCTGTGAAGCACCACGTCCCTGACAGGGCACCACAGCGCTCAGCGAGGAGGGTGCAGCACTGCCGGAGGATCAACAGAAAACATTGCCCAGCTACTGGGGTCCCTCGGCAAGGCATTTGTCACCTGCGGCAAGGAACACTCCCTCACACACGGCTCACGGCTGGCGCACATGAATCCCCGTGGAACTGGATGTCATCTCTCGGGAAGTGCATGTTGATCACTTTGTTTTTGCTTAGCATTTTTCTGTTCTGTGACCCTGCCGTGGGAAGATGGTATGCGTGCCGACAAGTTCATGACGGAACGACTGTGAAGAAATGGACAGCTCTGCTAGTGTCCCAATAGCGGACAGTGGCCTGCTTGATATAAGCTCCTCACATTGCTGACACATTGCCTTACAGATCTGAGGATTGATCAGTGCTGAGGGTCAGAAAGGTCTCATCGCAAACCCAAGCGGGTCGTTTATTTTGGCAAGGCTTGCGGAAAGACCTTTGAGTAAAAATATGTTTGCGCGCGGGGTGTTCCATTGCCGTGTCAGTTCACCGTTTCAACTTGCTGATGCACCGACAGCTGCTTTTCTTTTCTTCGTGAACTTTAGCGAGGGAGAACGATTGGGAAGAGACACGAGGAAAGGACGACAGTATTCCCCCAAAATCCCTTTTTCATCCGGCTTGCATTTCGAGAGCTGGCAAAAAAGTCAGTCGGGCACTCAGCCTCTTGATCCCCAGAAATCAGTGGCAAAAGGGATCAGTTTGGCTTGAGGGCCGAACATCAACTTGGACCTTGGCGGGGCTCAAATTTGATCCTAGCGGTTCAGGAAATCGACCCCGCCCCATTTTGAACAACCCAGCTTGGTATTGCCCCGTGCTGCGTTTATTGAGCCAAGATCCCCGTGGCGCACGTCCGATGTTTTCCACCCCACGCCTGGCGTGTTCAGACAGCTGTTGGGACTGTATCGGGTCACAACAAATTGGTTTGGCTTCCTTTCAAGAGATTCCTTTGTCCCCAGTTTTGACAACAAACCCAAATGGAGGAAACCACCAGGGGTTAGGGGGGTGGGTTAGGGGTTAGGGGAGGGCTATGGTGTGTCTTGTTTTGGGGGAACCCCTTTTGGTGATTCAAAGGGAACCCAAAAGGACAGCACTTTTTCGCGGTGCACAATCTTAGGGCTGCCGCCCTGTGCCACCGACCCCAATCTGGACACGTTTTAGATAGCATACCATACATATGTGTGTGTATGCTACCCCCCCTTGTTCCTATGTTTTGCTTGATTTGAGAGTGCAGGCTGTAGAATTTAGATGATTCTTGCAGTACAGTAGGTGCACCGTTTTGCTCGGGTGCAGCAGACAGGCTGTAGACTCAAGCGGAGATATGCAGGCTTGGGGTCCATCATGTCCATTTGAGCAATTTCACTGCACAATTCCAAGAAAAACAATTCCAAGCAACATCTATCAACATGTAGACATCCTAGAAGCCTCTGGAATTCATAGCAGCTGGACAATTAGGTACTTCGTGCATAAAAGACAGCTAGAAGGCAGGTGTCCAGAAAACATAGGTTACCCTGTTGTAGGCAATATTATGCCCGCACAGCAGATTAGCCACGTTGTTTGAACAGAATATGTTGTCTTTCTGTGCAGTTTTCTTTGCGCAAGTTCTTTGAGCAAGTTTCTCCGAGCAAGCTCTCCGAGCAAGTTCTCTGAGCTCGGAGCAAAAAAGAAGGTGGACAATTACAGAAACGGGACCAACAAAGGACATTTTGGTATCGCTGGAACAATAAGGACAAGGATCTTTCCGAGAGTCAACAAAATTACAACTGCCCAGGAAAGCTTTGTCCAGAATCCTTTCTCCAGAAAAAGAAGGATATTGAACATTGAAGATGATTGCTCGTGCAAATGGTTGTGACACTTTTTTGTCAAGTTGCCCCCTGAGATTGTGACTGCCGAATGTAAGCTTCTCAATACCGTCTGTGGATCCAACATGCAGGAATCCTTCGGAACCTTTCGGGGGAATCTTCTATTTGAATCTCCCCCCTGAAATCTGAATATCTGTATTTAGCACAATCTTTTTCTGGAGTTTTTGAATCTTGAATCTTGAATCAAACATATGGGGTTCAAGACTCCAGATTCAAGATTCAAGTCCATGTTTTTCTGGAATTCTTGAATCTTGAATCCCAGATGTTTAAACACAAAAACACGCTGGCAACAGCAAAAAAGACATGTTGTGATCCAGCCATCTCAAGCTATCAGCAATCTTGGATCTTGGATCCAGATTCCTGAATACCGGCATTAAGAAATTCAAATACCAGAACTAAGGCATCTGAATTCCGGTAGTAATATTTCAGGGGGGAGCATTCTTGGATCCAGGATCTGAAATCTTGAATCTTGAATCCAATTTGTGTTAAAGATAAAATCAAATAAACAATCTGGCAACAGAAAAACATGATATTCATTGAAAGTCCTCCCAGCAATCTTGGATCTGGGATCCAGGACCCAGGATCCTTATACCGGGTATTAAGGAATCAGAAGGGGCCGCCATGGGGCCTGCGTTTTTGCAGTGCAGTAGAATCTCCTCGGAATCCAAAGCGCAGTATGTATAATGTTGTTACCCCCCTGTTACGGTGCCCATGTTTGGCAAGAAAACAAGTCCTGAAAAGGTGGTTAACATACAGCGGAGTATAGGCACCAGGGAAAAGGGAAGGAGTACCATATAATACGTATTATTCTCGGTATTTAAATTTGTTGTTTCTGGGGCACGGATGTTGCCAACAAGGAATCTCATGTTGGAGCCAGACTGCCAAAGGGCGTGAAACCTTTGTTTTTAACGCCCCTTCGAGAAGGACGACAATATGTTTGTACTAAAACGCTAGCGATGCTGGGGGGAGTGTCGACCACTTTATGTAGAAATTATAGTGTCATCTGTGTTTAGTAAGTGGAAAAGCTTCACCAAGAGAACGCCCCAATACTATTTGTATCTGGGACGAAACACGCTAAACATGTCGCCTTTTCGCATCCCCACCATCCCGGGCGAGGCCTAGCGCGACTTTTGAACCCTATTCAAAAGAAAGACACAACAGTAAGAGATAGGAGGCAACATCAACATGCTCGGCATTACCAGTAGGGCTTCTTGTATATTGGGCATTTGAACCAGGCTGGAACTAAGAATCAGTTTAAACAACATTTGTTTGATGATGATTTATGTGCCCATTATCAGTGTAACAATGATTTGTTGCCATCCTTCCCTTGCGCCTTCCCTTGTTGCAAGAAGGGGTCAGCGGATTATGGATTGAATCCAAGGTCACAAAGCCGAGACCACGGACTTCAATGCGATGCTCTACGTCACAGACGACCAGCTGGAGCACTTCGACTCCCTGCTGTCTCAGACCTACAAAGCCCGCAGCACCCAAGACAGGCAGGGGATGCCAAAAACAGAAGGGCTCCCTCTCCAGATGGAGCCCAAAACACCAACCCATGTTCAGCAATGGGATCTGCTTTGGAATTGTTTGTTTGGGTGGATAGTTGTTTTGTTTTTTGTTACGGCAAACTTTGACACCTTTTATCAGGGGATGGTCAGCAAATCTTCCACTTGCTTGTTCTTGGTAGGGCATTTCCCGCCAACAATTCTCAAACCATACCCCTTTCGGCCCATTTCAAGAGGACGCCATCCAGCAAGCATCTCAAGACCTTTGTCTCCCAGTCTCTCTGGATGCTGTGTGATCGCAGCTCTCTAGTCATGCCAGCTGTGACGCCGGTTCCGAAGTGTCCTCTTGGTCTTGCTTTGACGGCGGCTCCCCTGGTCCCGAACACATTCAAAGTCACGTTGGTGTGCCTATCTTACCCACACAGCCAACGTGAAAGCTTCATGAAAGACATCTTGCCTCCGGTTGCCAGCTAAAGTGGAAGTTGCTGGTTCAAACCGGGGGAAATTGCGGGGATCATGAAAGCCATCATGGCAACTCCACGCTAGTTGTTACTTTTTGTCCACGTGCTTCCATGATAGGCGGTGCGAGCGAAAGAGCAAGCAGGTCTGAGTTTGGAATTTTCGCATTTTCGCTCTTTTCAGAAGCCAACCATTTTCCCTGCTTTGTGTCTAGCTTTCTGAAAAAGACGGACTTTCTGGTTTTAGAACCTGATTGAAATGCAGCAATGTTCCCTGTGTTTCTTCGTGGCTTTCTGAACATTAGTACCGTGGCGGGTTCAAAATCATTTAAAACTAGACCCGGCGTATCACGAACGCGCTTATTAAACATACAGACCGAATCATGCGTTCAGCAAAGCTATTTTAAGATGCGCAGTGCAATGCTACGCCGACATTTACCGTGCGGTAAAGAAGCTATGCTGCGATGCACTGCGCAGCACTTCTATTTTGGGATGTGCTGTGTTTTGAGATGTGCTGCGTAGCAAAGCTATGTTGAGGCGCGAGATGGGCTGCGCAGCAAGGCTATGTTCAGATGTGCTGTGCGGCAAGGCTGTGCAGGAAATGTTGAGATGCGCTGTGCAGCAAGGCTGTGCAGTATGTTGAGATGCGCTGTGCAGCAAGTTCATGTTGAGATGACTGGCTGAGTCTGAGTCAGGCTCGGAAATCAGCTGGGAGGCCTGCGTCGTTTCCTCTTCTTTTCCTTCGGCTCCTTGGTCTCCTTCTTCTCATTTGGCTTCTTCTCCTTCTCACCCTCCTCCTCTGTCGCCTTCCTTGGATTCTTACTCTCTGGCTCAGTCCGATCGCCGCTGCCGTGTCGCTTTGGCGTTGGGCTTTGACTTCTGATTCTGATACTCGGCTTCCTCATCCGCAGTCTTGCCAGCCGTCGCCCACTCAGGCTCGCAGAAGGTAGACCCTTCTGTTTGCATTTGTTGCTTGACAAACTTGACCAGCTCACTGTGAAGAAGCGAGGCATGCGTCTCTGTCATAGCCAGGCCCAAGTGAGGAATCCTCCGCAGCAGGGCGGCCTCGGCAAGATCTCCCGCGTGGCGTTGCAATCCAGCACGCCCGAGATCTCGTAGGCGGCCAGGGCATCTGAGTACAGCATCACCGGCATGTGGTTGAAGAATGACGGCTCAAAAGATTCACCGTCTTGCTGTTGTTCGTCATCCTTCGGGTCCTGACTCGTCGAAAGAATCTGCCCGCAAGATCTTGTCCCTTGTCCCCGTACGCCTCCTTCCTAACAAACTTCGGGCGATGACAAAAGACTGGCCGCAGATGGTTGCGACCCCTCACAGACCTTCTGGAGTGCTAAAACTACATCCCAGGAACCCCTTCTGTCTGTTAATTTAATGCGCTGAGCTGCTTCTGGTTCACAGTTAATGACCACTCATCCAAAGCGTTGCCCAAGCCAATCCCAATGCAGTTCCCGAGGTTCGAGCCGGGGTACTCGCTGCGCTACAAAGCCACCCTGAGATGCGCTGTGCAGCAAGGCTATGTTGAGCCGTGCTGCGAGCAAGGCTGTGCAGAACATGTTGAGCTGCGCTGTGTAGCAAGGCTATGTTGCTATGTAGCTAGGCTATGTTGACATGCAATGCGCAACAAAGCCATGCGGAGATGCGCTGTGCAGCAAGGCTATGTCGAGCTGTGCTGCGCAGCAAGGCTGTGCAGGATATGTTAAGCTGCGCTGCGCAGAAAGGCTAGGTTGAGATGCGCTATGCAGCAAGGCTGTGTTGAGAAGCGCTGCGCAGCAAAGCTATGTGGAGATGTGGAGATGCGCTGTGCAGCAAAGGCTGTGTTGGCGGTGCGGAGCTACGCTGTGCAGAGCAAGCTTTGCAGAGCCGGGCTGTGCAGAGCTGGACAACGCTGAGCTGTGAACGTCAGGCTACGCAAGCAGAGCAATCCTTCTTTCCAAAGAACCCTTTGGCGTTTGGTCATGGTTTCCTTTCAAAGAAAGAGTCCCTGGGTCCAGTTACGGCCAATGGCCTCGAGGCCATGCCCGAAGGGCAGCTGTGCCAAGACCCCCGGTGGCTGCCCTTGCGTGCAGCCCGATGGAGATCCAGGCAGGCGAGATCCATGTCGGCCGCGTTCGGTGTTTTTGTTTTTTTCGTTTTCCTTTTTCTGCTTGCAGTCGTTTCAGTCGGTTTGGGTGGTTTTGCTTTTGGACCATGGAAGGTTGTTTCTTGATTGGCGCATGGAAGGGCGTTGTTTTGCTGCGATTGGACCATGGAATGGGCGTAACTGCGGGTCGGCTGGAGCCTAACCCGGTTTTGTCTCCACTTTTTGGCTTCAATTTTGAACAGAGTCCAGCTACATTGCAAGCCATTCCTTGGCACCTTCCATGGTTTGAAGACCACTTCGGCATAGTTTGGAGCACGCTGCCCAACTTGAGACTCATTTTGAGTTTCCACCTTGAGCTAAATCTCTGTGATTGCATCAGCCAAATGGTTTGGATTCGAAGGCGGCAAGCGGCAACACATGGCGAAGCGGGGGCTAGATCATGAGATTTCTTCTTTTTGCAGCCCTTTGAGGGCTGTGACTGGCACACTTGATACTCGACTTCAAGCTGCTTGAAATCTCTTCCAAGGCTTGCCTGCGAGCTACATGATCCGACGGGTCATCCGGGTGGAGGACTCCAGGACGCCACAAGCCCGGCTTGGCGGTTTGGGTCTGTGTCTTGCGGTTTGTTTGTAAGACTGTAAGACTACTTTTGGGGGTGGGGAAAGGGGCAATTTCGAGGAGGTTACGTGAATCGACCCTCTCGGCATGTACGGAATTTGAATAGCAGCTTGGGCCACGGGTGGATGTAGAGACACCTTCTCTGCTTATTTTTTGGGGTAGTACAGGGGCAGAAAGAGCGTGGACAATCAGGCCTCACGTAACATGCCTCCTCCGACCGTGCGTGTAGGCAATTTCTGACAGTTGGCTGGGATGCCTCTGGCGGGTGGCGCGTAGGCTCACCTTGACAGATTGCCCGTGGAGAGAAACAAGCAGTCAACCAACAAGGGTATTCCTGAATTTGTTTTCCCTACTAGCGCCCGCTTTGTGTTCATTGACCTGTTGCAGTTCCACCCCCACAATGAGCGGTGTCTAGCTTCCCTTTCAGTATCCAAAAGGGTGGTTGGGCCCCTGTTTGACTTTGGGGTTCCAATCTTCTGGGCTGTTCAACTGCAATCCTCAGTCACCTCAGTCCTTCCGGTGGGTTAGATGGGTGTCCCCTTTGTCGTTGCCACCAATCAGGATGAATATCGGATTGGCTGGCCCTCCATGTTGAGGAGCCCATCCCCGTTTGCCAACCCCAGACCTGTTTACGGCCCTCCATCCTACCTTTTGGTCTTGGCCAACCCAAACTTGTCACTTTCCAAAGCACCGGCAACGGTCGAAACGCCGACACCAAAGAACCGCAGGATGTGGCGCCGCTACTGCCGGAAGCGGGAGCAGCTCAAATCGCGGGGCGGAATCGACCGGGTAGACCCGGCCGTGGAGACGGCAGGAAAGCCGCAGCCGTGCGATTCGGTGAAACACTCTCGGGGGGGGGGCTCTCTACAGGTTTCAACATTTCCCGTAGAGAAACATAGAGAAACACATGTTGTACACCCAGATTGCCAGGAAGACGCTAAACCAATCCAAGCTCATCGGGGCACGCAAGAAACACATGAACAGCAAAGCTGCTTTGAACCACCAGACCCTGGCCCCTTTGAAGGGGAATGGAAAGGATCTCCATCATTAGCTATTTGTGCTCTTGACCACCTACGTGCATCTGCAAGCTATCCATGTCCAAACCGTGCTTGCTTCGAGGGTTTGAACAGCAAGTCCATGGATCGAATGCCTCCAACCAGGATTTGAAAAGCAGAACAAATATTTAGGTATTGGGGATAGAACAGGCACCATGCATGGGGTCTCCATTTGTTTTGCATGGTAGCACCAGTGTCATGATGTGTGCGTGTGTGTACATTAGACCTTTGAACACATGGTGGACATCTAAGAAAAGTCATTGACTTGCTGCATAACCTCCGGACCTCCGCTCCAATTGAAGAAACAACATGAACCTGTTGTTTGGGCCGTTTGGGCACCTCTTTCAGGCACATGCCCTCACGGTCAAGGGCATGGTGAGCAAACGTAGTCTGCCCTCACTGAGGGACCCGTCCGGCGTTGAGCCATGGCACCCGCAGGACTCGTTTCGGAGCAGTCTGGCACCTTCTCTCCGTTGGACGAGAGTGCCACCTGGCAAAGGTGAAAAGGTGAAAAGGTGAGCGGTGAACGATGCTTTGGAACTGCCTGTGGAAGAGTGATTCAAGATGGTAGTTCCACGCGAAGGTTTGAGCTGAAGCCTTTCTAAGGGAGCGATCCTGGAGGGCTGCCTTTGTTTGTAAGCAATCGGCGCAGACTCAATGGTCTAATTTCTGTGCAGCAGTCCAAAGGAACTCCGAATTGCTCGTATCTAGACGCGATGTTAAGCAATCGAAATACCGCGCTGTCCTTGACCAAGAATCGGAAGCCATCCGCTTTCAAGTCTTGCGGGAACATAGTAGATGCTTGCCCGAAGTCAGAAATACAGACACATGCCGGGATGATGTAGCAATCTCGCTGCAGGTGCTATGCTTGTCGATGTTTCGTTGGCCTGGGTTACTTCCGGGGGTAGTTGCAAGGTGGTTCATTTCTGGTCGTTGGTGTTTTTCTAAGCATTTGAGCAACATGAATTTGGGACCAAAGGGCCCACCACGCTTCAAGCATTTTTCAGAGGCTTCAAGCTTATTGTCTTTCCATTGACAAAGTTCTGAAGAAACGACTCCTCTCAGACCCACATACTCAAGCACAACGAGCTAAGGTGAACGAGTTCTATCTGTGGCACGGCACCCACACCCGAGCTGCGCTGTCAATTGCCCACGAGGAAGGGTCTGGGAAGTAGGCCACAGACCGGGGCTCAAACCCTGGCACCCTGTCTCATGTTGGCGGTGACGAAGGCCCCTCCTTTGCCGCTTTCGTGTGATCAGGACTTCCGGATCGACATGGCGGGCTCCAATGCCGGCACCATGTACGGCAAGGGCTGCTACCTCGCGGAGAATTGCCACCCGCGGAGAAATTGTCACCCTTGAGGAGGGAAGTGGTCCAGGGGGCCTCACAGGCCAAACAGTTACCAATCGTGCACCCCTTGAAATCACAGCTAAACTTGGTTTTGAAGGCCCCGCAAACATAGCCCTATGCATTACTCATTACTGCAAGTGTGACTGTTTCGGGCTGCAGGGTCCACTCGAAGGAAACACAGGAGAAGCATGCAGCATAATGAAAGCCTGTCGGCCTGGTTAAACGATTCTCCTCATCTTGGAATCTTGAAAGCTGCGCCGACAAGCGAGTATGCCACAGCACTTGGATGGGGGCTAACTGCACTTGTCATCCCAAGCCACGAGGAATGGGACACCGAGCCTTCAATTCACTTCAAAGTCACCAACACACCTGGGCCAATATAGTGGCTTTGAGCCACTAAGTCCACAACTCCAATTCTCCTCCAGTCCTTCGGTTGGGAATTCACTCGTTAACACGTGTTTTGAAGCACATTCCGTCCTTTGGGCCTACACAGACGCATCTTGGTCTCTCAACTCATGCCTAGGCACCAAAGCGGATGAGTACGCTCGCGATGAGCCTCATGGTGGCTTGGAGTAAAGGCAAGGTCTTTGCTGGTGAAGTTGACCCCATGCTCGAATATATCTCTCCATGTTTTTGCAGTGGGCAAAGTAGCGGTGGCATTGTTGACCCGATTGGAAGCAAGTTGGCTTGGATGGACGCAGGCCCATTTCACCTGAGCTCGCTGGATCAGTGTTCAGGCTCATCGAACTGTCGCACTGGAATGTGCAATTTCATGTTCATGTCAAACAGATGTCGCACATTTGGCTTGACATGCAGCGCCCTTCAGAACAGAGCAGCTGCTTGAACATATCTTGAGGTTACTATGAGGGCGTGTTCGCGCTTCTCCTCTGCCGCGTTTCCATGGGCAAGTTCTTCTACACGACTGAGCGCTACGAGCAAGCAGGCGGGTGTGTCAAGGCGAGCTCTAGAGCTGACTCTACATAGCCAATAATTCTTAACTTCCCCAGAAGGACATCAAAAAGGGATGGAGATTTGAGTAATCTTTCCGGACCGCCAATCAACAGCCAGCAGTGTGTTGTCACTGGACATCTCCGGGCAGTTGGGATCATTGCAAATTCGGGCCCCTTTCGGTCAAGGCCAAAGAGCTTCCGGACACTGTATATACTCCCTGCAAATAAACTTGGAACCAAAAAAGAGGATCCTTCAGTTTCTACTTTGGGTTCCATATTCTGGGGAGTGGCCTCCCGGTTTATCCGCACCTCTCAATACCGCAGTTTTCGCCGCTTTTGTGGCACTTTGTCGGAGGCGACAAAGTCAAGTCCGGTGAGTTCGATAGCACGGTGGGCGACAGGACCCGGCACTCAGGGTTCCATGCTAGCCGACTAGACTCAATAGACTCAATCCCAGGCGCTTTGGGGACATCAAGCACCCGGTGTCTATGGCCTCAAAAGATGGGGGTTCCCGGAGTGCCCCGAAGTGGGATGTGTCATTCTGGCGAGTGGTTGGCCTCGGCTTTTCTACGTGCCGTTGTCCGTGCTGATGTTCGCTAGGACCAAGAAGGCCAACACCTTCCGGGAGTTCGTGGTTTACAACCCAGATCAGGCGCCTGGTTTAAAAAGACGTCAAGCCAAAACGGTTACTTGGACACCGCCTGATTGAAAGGTGGGATGCATCTCTGTCCTCAAATACTTTGTCTCGCTCGCAGTCGGTTGATCGCGGTCTTTCATCCGAAGAATAATTTGCTGGGAATGGCTTCTCAACTGCCATGTGCACCTGCGCTTCAGCTGCCAGGTCTATCCGGAGTATGTCATCCTGTACTCGCGGCGGCCCAAGGCAAGGGCGCACTGAGCAGCTTTGGAGCAACGCTTTGCCTCGGCTGGGACGGCACTTGATAAGGGCGTGTGAAGAATTTTGGAGGGCGTGTGACTGTCTGCAAACCCCCCAAACCCCAAACCCTAAACCCCAAACCCCAAACCCCAAACCCCCCCCTAACCCCAAGCCCGCCAAACCCCAAGCCCGCCCAAACCCAAGCCCCCCAAACAACCCAAACCACCCCCCAAATCCCCCCAACCCCCCAAACCCCTCAACCCCCCCCCCCCCAACGCCCCAAACCCCTCAACCCCTCAAACCCCCCAACCCCCGCCCGCCCAATGACCCAGGCTTTTTTGATCTTTTTTCGCCAGGCGATCGCCCTGGAGAGCTTCCGCTTCGGGCTCACCAAGTTGCACGCGGAGCCATCTGGGGTGGCTGCATGTGGCATCCGGCTGGCCTGTCTTATTGGCGTGTCTCGTGGGTGAAAAGCAGTCTTCGCGTTCAGGCATTTCACTTCAGGAAGGCTTTTGCATTGCTCCAGCACTTCGCACATGTGCCAATATTCACTATGATCTGTGGCTCAGGATGACATGGAGCACCCTCTCCGAATTTGCAGCAGTAAATGGGGTTACTCACCAAACTATTAAATGTCACCAGTAGACACAATGAACAGCCGCGGCTCATATCGTGGAACCGTCAGGAGCTCCCGGTGTATTGGCAGCACTGTCACGTGAACCCCCAGATCAATGCCTTTGAGGCGTGGGCTGAGAGTCGAGAAGCATAGGTCCAGGTGTCCTTACGATCAGTTTGCTTGAAATCAGATGGATTCCACTGGTTTCAGTTTGGTTCGATTTTCATTTACCAGTGTTCTTCGAATTTCCAAAAGGCCACGTCAAACCAAGGCCCCCAAAGGCTCCACAAAAGGCCCCCCAAAGGCCACCCCCAAAGGCCGCCCAAACGCCCCCAACACCCCCAATCACAAAATCCAAGACTCAAAGCCTGTTTCCGTGGCAGTCAGTTTGGTTTCCGCCGCTCAGGAGCAGTACTTGGTGCGCAACACCTCGCGGCACCACCTGCAGCAGCTGTCACAGGCGTGCCTCCGCCCGGGAACCCAAGCTCAAGGTCAGGATAGAGTGTGACATGAGCGTTTCTCGAAATCGATTTTTCACAAAGCAGCTAGTTTCAAGGAAAAGCAAAAGGGATCCAATCATCTTCAGGGAACTCATTTTGAGGCAACACCTGAAACACGAATGCCGTCCTTTCAACTTGCTTTTGAATCTGAAGTTCGTTGACAAAATGTCTTGATTGTTAGTGGTCCATTTGGGCGGTCATTTGGGAGGGACAGGGGAGTCACTCGATTTCCCGCGCAATCTGGTGACTAATTTACCTTGCGGAGAGGTGCGACAAATCTTGACTGGGCTTAGATGGGGTTGTTTCGAATAAGGAAAACTCCAAATTGGGGTTTGGCTTCCCTTTTTTTCTGAGCAACAACCAGTGCAAAGGGTAACCCTCCAAAACAAAGTATGGTGGGTTGACCTTTTGTTCAGTCCGTTTGAGGACTAAATGCCACCTGAAGGTGTCAAAACGGGCACAGAACAAGAACGAGGCGGCCGCTGAAGCATTTTTCCAATAGAAAGGTGAACCTTAAGGGGATGCAGTGGCATGCGTAATGATGGTGTCATCAATGCTTGTAACAGATGATGGTGAAGTGTGACTTTTGGCGATGGGAGCAGCCATTTTCTTGCTTGAATTCAGGCGCTTTCACCGCTGTGAGAGAGGCACTATAGTGATCGGAGGAGCGTGCTTTGTAAAAGCTAGTGTTTCAGGATCCAGCAAAGCCTTGAATGGCGCTTGCCAGAAGAGTTTTGTTTCTCCAAGAAAGTTGGAGCAGGCCACGTTGCAGTAACCTTGACTGGGCTTCCAACCAACAAGTCGTCCACATGCTTGTCAGTTCATGCTTGATAGCCCGTTCACAACCCCAAGTTTGGGTTGTCTCCAAGTAGGGGGACGTCCCAATTAGAAACAAGTGGATTTCTTCAGGTTTCCGTTTGGACCAACAACCAATCAAAACCAAAACATCCATCCAAACTCCAAGATGAATGCTTTTCCGTTGGTTTCTCTTCACAACCAGGGTAGAGACACCCCATTTTATCACTTCTTGAAGCGGGCGCCTCGGACCGCGGAAGCGTATGAGCCGTATGAGATCTGAGGCAGCGGCGGAAAGATCCAGGCGGCGTCCGGGGTGCGGTTCGGGAAAAGTTGTCGCTGTTTGATTGGGTTGCCGCTTGGTTGGTGTCAAGGGTTGGTTGTCCAAGGGTCAGTTTGGCGGGCAGGTGTCCCCGGGCCCCTTGGTTCTCAAAATGCCCTTTGGGTTTCCGGTGGGCAACAGTTCCAGTGCAGATAGTTCGTCGGGCCGATGCGGTGTGTGAGAATGATTCCCTCAAATAAATGGGTGAACATTGTCAAATGCCCGGATTTCATCGATACGGTTGATGCGGTACCGACCTGGATTTGATGACAGGATTCCCCAGACGGACTTGGTACAACTCATGGCAAAGTCCTGTCCTGAGTGGGGATCTTTTTAGACTAAGTTCCTCGGAAAGGTCAACTTTGCTGATTGATGCAGGCCAGACGAATTTAGAGTCTGTATCGCTGAACAGTGCGGGGGTGAGACCTTTTCTGTGAAGCTCTGCATGCTGCATGGTTCATGCATCCAGCCTGGCTAAGTCACATCAAGGCATTCTTGCCGTTGATACAAGTAGTTGAGTTAGCCATTTTTGGTCGGTCCGTGGCATGAACTCTTCGGGGATCTGTCGGAAGCATTGGATTCTTTTGCATTCTCCCCTGCCCCTCAACCGTACATTGGCAGGTCGTGTCGGCGCGGCGCATCGAGATGTCAAGCATGTGGAACCGCTACGTGCAGTTCAAGCTGAGGCTGGGGACGGCGATAATTGCTGTGCCTGTCGTAAGGAGTGTCTTGAAATGCGCAAATGCACAGATCAAAACCGTTAGCACACCGTAAACACCGTCAAACATGGACTCTTGGGGCTTCCGGGGACGCTGGTGCTGAACAACGTACGCGCCTTACCCATTCGTTTGATATGGGTGCCCCTCCCTGCTAGTACAGGTTGAGCCTGACCTCGGGTTCTCATGCGGGGCACAGACCCTTGAATTATAGGAGACACGGCCTGCGATTCTTGGTTAAGGAGCTCTTCTGGTTGGCTTTGAAATGCAAAGAGCAATCCGCTGGTATATGTGGTCCCCAATTTGTGAAGAACATGCTGGCTGTGTGGGAGAGAGGTGAGAGGTGCAAAGGTTGAAGATAAGAAGGTGGCTGTTAAAACGAATTCGACCCGTTTTCGATGGCCCTGCAATGGAAACCCAGGATTAACAACCACCCTGGTTGGTGAACAGGGGGGCTGTTCCATGCAGCATGGGATCCTTCACCTATTGGGAGAAACACCCTCGATTAATCCGCCAGGTTGATTAGTCAGGGCTAACATTTCAATTTGATGAACACGGAACCAATGGTGTCCAGTCTCGACACCGTGGTTCAAAATATATGTTGCGGCTGTCAAATGGAAAAAGGGCAGCACGCGCAGTGGGAGTGTGGCAAATGTGCATCTGTCAAAACCTCTGTCAAAAGGAGACAGCTTGTTCGGCTCAGAGCGTATGGCATAAAGGGCTGAACACTAGGTCCTAGGCCAAGGTGAAGAACATGAGCAATTGCTAGGCGCTGAATTGATCTCCTCAGGAAGTCAAGCGCTATTACCTTAAAGATTCAGAACTTCAGAACTGATTGGGTTGAGCCTTGAGCTGATGCGTCAGCAGGGGTGAGCATAATCTGCAATGTGGCGGTGTGACACCTCCACCAATTATTTCAAGCATGTGAGTGAAGATGTTGCGGCGCCCCAGTAACCATAGGGCAAAGGGATTTGGAGGATTTTGTACATCGCGTATGTGAGCCTCCAACATGGGGCCTGGTTTCTAAAAGAACCCTTCAAACCAAGCAGAAAAAGGGGTACCAACTCAAGAAGCAACCCCTCCAGGCGGGTGCCGACTCAAAAAGACAGCCACCCATACAGTGTGTCCCGTCCCAATTCATTTCCGGCTGGACGTGAAAACGGTCCCCCGGCTCCACCCAGTTTCTGCGGCTTTGGGGCCAGTCTCTGTGACGCCAAGGGAACTGCCTCGGAAAGCCATGCAGCCTCGGGGATGCGAATCCCACAGGTTTCATGCTATCCTCCCTGGAGAAAGAAAACCATATGAGTTCACTGGATTCCCCGCAAATCATCTTTTCCCTTGGTCAATCCGAGGGACGGGGCTCCCTTTTTATGTTCGAGGCTGAAGCAGGAGTTGGCCGCCTCGGGCTTGCCCCGCTTCGCCTCCGCGCAGCTGCTGGAGGGCAAGGCCGAGCGCGGCGACCCCCGGCCGGGCGGGCGGTCCGTGACGGGAGTCGAAGAAACAGATCTCAGACGTCTCAGACTTCTCAGATGGCTTAGTATGGCTGTGGGTCAAAACCAATGGTACTATTTTGGGGTAGGTATGCACCACCCAGTTTAGAACCTATTTTAGTGGGGATTGGGATGTTCACTGGGGGTACGGGATTTTGACCCATGGCCGTATGTTTGAAGGGTCGTGAGTCCTGCATTTCAAGGTTTCCGCCCGGGCAACCAACCGGTGCAACGCCCGAACTGGGATCTCCAATGTACATGTCTAGATTCATGGAGAGCTCGCTTGACATTTGTCAAAGTTTCACCAATGGTTGTCAGAATCAAGCATGTGACTTTTGTTGGGCAGAAGCTGAGGTAGCCTCCCCATTCTCGTTGGATGAAACGGGTAAAATGGATGCCGGCCATTTTCGGGGACCCTTTGGTTTTCGAAACATAGTCAATGCCATGGGTCAAAATCCCGTACCCCCAGTGAACATCCCAATCCCCACTAAAATAGGTTCTAAACTGGGTGGTGCACCTACCCCCAAAATTTTACCATCGGTGTTGACCCACAGCCAGTGCCGTCTTGTTTTCTCAGACCTCCAGTGCTTTCTTTTCTTGTTGGAGGGGCCTTCCCTTTCCAACTTTTCCTGTAAACTCGATTCCCAAGAACACTGCCTCTTTTTTTATGGCCACTGGAGGTCTGGGCTTTGTAGTGGTGCCCCTCCAGTGAGGGGAAATCACCTACTAGGGAACGAGTCTGGTTGCCTCGCCAGCCGCCCACGCTCTGGGACTTCAATAGCGCCTTGCGCAGTTCTGCGCAAGCCTAGATGTAGTCGAACGGAAAGTCCTCAGCTGCTTTTTTGAACCGCGATAGCCATGTCGGACGGCCATCGTGTGGATGCTGACACTAATCAATGTCGCTGAGCATCACCCCCAAGTATCAGCCGTTGCCAGTGGATCCGAGGAGATCCTAACGTATAGCTATCTCAAGGACCTCTATGGCAAAGGACAGGGCAACTGGACTTCGTGTGCGAAGATTGCACTCCATGGTGCCCATTGGGTTGTGGCTTGCACATAGCGTGAGTGATGCCTTTGCTCGATTGGCCAGAGAGGCATTCTTGCAACATATTTGTCGCGTCTTGGATGGGGTTCTTTGTGCATGTGAGAGGGCCCGATTCTGCTCACTTGCCACTGGAAGGGATTTCCCCGTGGTTTGCCTTCCACTGCCACAAACAGTATGTGTTTTTTCAGGGTAGGCTTGGTTAAAAGGGAGATTTAGGGGACACCCCATTGTGGTGCTGCCCCGAACTTAACACGTAGCCCTGTAGGAGTGCAGACCACTATCTCTGTGGATGGCCTCGAGGATAGCATCCAGGACTTGTGTCTTGTGGCAGTCATGGGGTTGTCAGGCTGATTTTCGGACCATGCCGCCATTTGGTGCTGCCTGTGAAAGGGGTCCAAAAAGGAGTTTCATAGTCTTGCCAACCACCCTCACCAAGTCACGTCTTGAGAAGGCACGTGCTTGCAGACCGAGGGGGACTCTTTAAGGGCCGTGTGATCGTAAAACTTTCCCAGCTTCACAGGAAGACATTGTGGCTGATTGGCATTTGCTCACCTTCGTCTTTGCAACCGGCCTTGGCGCGAGCGTGTCGGACATTTCTTGCTGAGTGTTACGAGGAATCGGTTTAGGGGTTGGTCCAGGCACCATGTCTGAACCCCAGGACAAAACCAAACCTCCAAGTCTTTCCAAGTTAGTTTCGTGTTGGTTCCCTTGGAGAACTCGAGTCTCCTGTTCTCGGACACCAACTGCCCTTTGCCATTGCCCTTTAGCCAAGCCTCCCAGCTCGGATCCGAAGGTCCGAAGAATCTGCCCTCATGGAGCTTGGGAAGGGTTGGACCCCTATCCCATGGTGCCTTCTGGTGTTTAAACCCAACATGAAACAACCAACGGCTTTTACCCCACGGTTTCCGCCAGTATCCCCAGGAGCATCTGCTGTGGCACGGCACCTCCCGTGCCTCGGCGGAGGCGATCGTCAAGGCGGACTTTCGCATCCCCATGGACCCAGTAAAGGACCGGGTGTCTCCAAATAGGAGTCGGTCCCATCGGTCCCATCGGTCCCCGATGGCAATTGGGGTAGGGGTGGTCGGTCTCCTTTGGGTTGTTTGTAGATAGCCCGAATCCCGTGTTGAACAACGGCTCGATGGTGGCTCCATGGCCAGCAGCCAAAAGCAGTTCGGTTCTTGGGTACCGTGGTTTACGGAGATCCGGATATCTTCCAACCATTCTGAATCCAGGAATCGCGTCTTTCCGGAAAAGCCATCAAGAATCAGGGAAGGCAAGGGGTACTGTCGGGGAAAAAATCAAAGAACATGGGAGAATCCTGAATCATGTTTGTACTTACATAGCCCCGTCTAGTATCCTCCCTATCCAGCGAGCCTTCTTTCCAAAAAGTCATCAATCATCCGAGGAAGGCAGTCTTGTTGAGAATAGCCGCGTTTGAGAATGACGAACCAATCCCTAGACATTGCAGTCGTCATCATTTTTCTTGGGCACAGGAATCATGAACATGACTGAGTTGCGCAAAGACTTGACTGCGAAGAGGGCAAGCCAGTTGTTCCGCGGCATCCTGCATCCACTAGAAATGATCAACCCCGAAAAGGGTTGCCGGTTTTCCAGGGTCACTGGGCAACTGGGGCGAGGGCCCTCAAGTGTAAGTGAAAAATAGAAGGAGCAGTGGAATTGCAAAGCATCATGAGAATGCTGCACGGATTGATTTCCTGCGAGTACACGCACACATTGGCAGAGGGACGGTCGTTAAGCCATATATGTGCCGATGATTGGAACATGTACCTGGGGGGGCAACTTTCATTTCGTAGTCTGCCTGGCCGAGAGGATGCCAAGCACGGCTTCCGCTTCGGCACTGGCTTGTACTTTGCAGAGGACCTTAGCAAAAGTTTGAGCTACGCTGCTGGGATGGAAATGAGATCTGGGGTGTTTGTCACTGAGAGAATGCTGCTTCTCCATCCATTCCCGGTATTCCAACTAATTATGTCTATGGGTGAAGGCCACACACGATCCGTAACCCCTTCAACAAGCAAATCAATATGGTGCAGCAATGTTGCGGTGAGACGCAATCGAAGCCCGGGTAGATGCAGGGCAATCCCAACCATAAACAGGTGCGCCGGCCCCTTTGATGATCATTTAAGTGATTTTTGGGTATACTTCTTTAGTACTAGGTTTTGATTGCAACTCAGGGGAGCTACTTAGATTCAGGCCAGTGATGACATGTGCTGGAATGTGCTATGGCTTCGGTACTCGTTGCATGGGTGTGAATCAGGTAGCTGAGTCGTTCAGAAGCAATCCTTATCCTTCTGCGCCAGATTACTGTTGGTCTGGGGAGAGGACACAGGGGCTTCTTTTTTTTTGGTTATATGGGCCAAGCATCGCCCAAGAGGTGGCCGTGAAACCAGTGACACCATGTCCTCCCATGCCAGCTGAGGCGCCATTAGAGAGAGGATCCAATGGTGGGACGTCCTCCCAGTTTGTGTCCCTCGGCCATTAGCCAGCAAGGGCGGCAGTTGGATGGCATCTCAGGGCTGCAATGGCCACTTGCAAGAGCGGTGCGTTGAACAAGATCTTTTCTGGCAGTGTTGGACATGTGTGGAGATCACATCTCTGCTAGCGCAGTAACTAAAGACTTGACGTTGAGATGTGAACATCACATCACTGGAGGATCAGCTGGGAAGTTGCATCGAAGCACACAGATTCAACAGATTCCCTGCACGGCAAGTGCAGAAGATGTCTGAAAGAATCCTTTAGCTCTCCAGAGGGATTGCGCCACAATGAATGCTGTGTGCTCGGGTGGATTGTTGATGGACATGTTTGCTCGTGCCATGCTTTGACCATTGCAAGATACGAGCCCGTTGCTGTCAGTGCCATACACTATGATCAGTCCTTTCAACCGTTCGACGGTCTGATTGACTTGAGTCCCTCGTGTTTTGGGGCATGCTGGACAGAATCAATTTGTTTGGTTCTCCAGACCTGGGCCGCCTAAGGGAAGCCACGGCGTCATTTCTTAAAATCAGACAATTGGTTTTTTGAACAAGCTTCCTGCTGATTGGGGGATTTGAAGCGACCTCGTCTCAGGCTGCTTTGCCGAGTGCTCTGTGGACAGATGCACTACACCGAGGAGATGTCTCATGCCAAGGCCACGGCCGCTGCCAAGCAGGCGCGGGCTTGCGTAAGGTCCAAGGGCCTCTTTGGTTTGGCCCTGCCCCCCAGTCCTTTGTTTGGAATGACCGACTTCGTGAACATTGCCAGACTTGGCTTACACTTCTAAGGTGTGTCTTTTTGGGTTTCAATCACATATCAACTTTTGCACGAAGTCCGGTGTTTGTTTTCTGTTTGCAAACAGCAACTTAGTAGTTGACCTGAACGTTCGGTGGGAAGCCCTCTCATTTTGGTCCCTAATTTTTGACTCAAAATGGTCCTAGTCAGTTTTTGGGCCGTTGAGGATGTTTTCAGCCCGCCCCGCGCGGCCCCAGCCTCGACAGGGCTGGGCCAACTAGTTTTGATGGTCTTTGCAACGGAGAAGTCAGAGCATTTCTTGAGTGCAGCGAGCTTGCCGGCAAGAAGCAGCGGTTCTGACATATGGGCCTTCTTGGGGATTCAAACGTCACCTGTTTCCCCTTTTTGAGATTCGTGGGCTCCCAACCACAACTCCCCCCCGCCCACACATAAAGATGTTTTTCCCAAAACCTGGGCCAACAGTTGGCTCTCCCTCAACCTCGGGGCCGCTTTTGGTGTGTGAACTTTTTGGTCCTAGTCAACCCAACTCAACCCAACTCAACTTCGCGGGGCCGGGCAGCCGGTTTCTTCATGAGCTCAGAGGCTGCGTCCGAAGATCAAACATGTTTCCAGGACCGGTGTGCAACGATCCCGAACAGAAAGGACTGAAACGAACGGTCACTAGGACCGAGACGAGACACGAACTAGGACCGAAACAATCAGGGTCCGATTCCGGAAACTAGGACCGAAACGAGTAATTACTAGACCAAAACGATCTGCAACTAGGACCTCCGGTGCGGGCAAGGCCCAACCTGAGGATTTTGTGGGCGATGAAGCCGGATTGAGAATGGCAACTCAACCGACCAGCCTTACAAGTGCTATGTGGTTGACACCTGCATGGGCGCTGTTGCAATCAAGGCCATCATGTGCTCAAACTAGAACGAGCTCACTCAATACTCAGGAGCAAAACGAGCTCACCCATGGCTCGTCCTTGGCTAGCATGATGATATACTATTGGCGTGTGTTGGTTTGTATCCACAGACATTCGTCCAAATCATTTGTTCAATCTTGATTTGAATCAGAGACACAACAGGCGGAGCCACCGGCAGATTATGGCCCTGCTGATCCTTCATGGCCGCCCCATTGTAACCATTAGAAGCCACTAAGAGTGAATATGAGGCAATGGCTCCCCTTCCTATGACTCTGGTTCAGTATATTACTCAGTATATGAGTTAGACATGTTGAGATAATGTTGGGCGCATGCTTGTTCTCTGCCTTTCTCATGCTTCTGGGCTAATTACAACGGGCCCATTTGGGGGTCAGACGAGCTCACCCAGGATGAAGGTCACTTTGCTTGAGAGTTCCTGCTTTCCAATGTATGAGTTACAGCAATTTGCCCAGACGCTTCGCACCGATCTTTCGTGCGAGGTCGGGAAGCACGCAGTGCTGGCGAACCCCTTGTCCAAAGGACCAAGGGAGTTCATCATCACCTCTGAGATGCAGGTGGGATCCCAAGCTCGATTCAGACGCCAACTCTCAGTTTGCTTGTTTACTGCCTTGGTTCACACTCATTAGACTTGGACTCTCAAGAGATAGCGACTTATGACAAGTATCGCAAGTTCAACTCTTGGCAAGGGATCGACGAACCACAAATTTGACCTTTGGTGGGGCAAGCTTGCAATGATCATTCAATTATTGCAGTGCTCTTGAAGGCACGTATTGGGCTCTGAATCAGAAATCTGGGTTAAGCCAGATGACAACGGTTTTTCTTGTGTCGTGGGATTTCATCCCTGCCCCCGTTTTGACCAACCCAGGAAATACAGAGCAGTCGGCGAAATGTTAAGGCATTTAAGGGTGGGCTGAGCTGAAATCATACTATGTCGACTGCAAGTTCTCATGTCACTGACTGCGGCTCTGACATGCTCTCACCCCACGTCTTTGAAGTTGAGCTTGTCTTTTGTTGGTGCGCCTGGCCTAGCTGTTGCCAAGCGCACCAAAGTGAGATGCAAAATGAGACGCAGAAGATCAAGGGGGCTATTTGTTTTTCCTTTGAAGTCGGGGGAATCCTCAGGTTTTGACCAAACATCAATGGGGCATGATTTTCTGTTGAGGGTGGCTTCTGCGACGACAGGTCTATCCTGAGTACATTGTGGAGCTGTCAGTGTCCGTAGACGGCCCCTAAGAATGGGCACTGCAGGGGGCCCCAGAAGTCCTGGGTGGTTGGTGTCCGTTTGGTTTTCCTGTGGTTCCCTTTGGGTTTCCTTTGGTTTTCCTTTGGATTCTTCAGATTAAGCGAAAACAGAAAGGGTGTCCTCGACCCAAGACCCCCCGACCACCAGCGCCCTCTCCAGCAATAGTCCGAGGGAGGCTGCATGCTGCCACATGAGCTTCATGTTGAGGGCGCAATGCGACTCATTCCACCTGGATGGGCGGTGTCGTGCATGCCGCACAGGGGAGAGGCATCACGTGCATGGCCTGGTCTTCTCTTGGCTAAGGTGGCATGTGGATGACAGCTCTTGCGGCGTTCCTTGCTTCTAAGAAGCGGCCGGCGTCGTTTTTCGAGCAATACCTGTAAGGCAAATTTGGGTTCCTGCTCCATTGAAAAGTTTTGTCTTGTTTGCGAAGTCAACAGCAAGCTGCAAGGTGGATGTAAAGTGGCCGTTATTCGCACTTTCAATATTCGCAACAGGAAGACGGTGGGAAGCCTCAACATGCAATGCAAAAACTATGCCCTTTGCAACGTTGACATCGGCTTTCTGAGAATGTCGGATAAATGTTGTGCCATCCTGAGCTGGACGTGCTGTAGCTTCCATTGCTCGCTTGCTTGCTCGGTAATTCCATGCCAGTTACGCTGCCTGAGAACACAGGTTGGCTGCCTGTACAGGGTCGTAGCCCGGCAGTGATGAAAAGAGTCGACCTTCCCTACAATTTCTCATATGTGCCATTGTCAAAAGACCGGTTCCTCTACTGGGAGTTGGAAGGGGTGATCGTTACCCACGGTAAAGAGTCCCTTTTATTGAACCACAGCCATGGCCTACACACCCAAACCTGCTGGACAAGCGACCGAAGGCCATGGCCTGCACAAGGAGTGTTGGCCAAGTCTGGCGCAGAGAGTCGTTGACAGAGTTGGGTCAGCAGATTTGGGTGGTGGACGCCATGTTGGGTGGTGTTTGCCGTGGAGGTGCGGCTCTCCCGGGGGACACGGTCTATGGTGGCTTGGTCTTACTGGGCGTCTTGGTGATGCCCAGGCCATATGTCACGGTGAATGTGACTGACAGGGCAAGGTAATTTTGGCACGTTGGCAGATATTATCAGGCTCGACCACAACCGTCCAGTCCGTTTGATTGCTCCACGCCCCAGCACAGGGTGCCGCGCTTGCAGCCGGGCTGTCGGTGGTGTGCATGGTTGGATCTGGGCACCCCACCTGATGTGCGAGTTTGCCCTGTGTGCCACCAGCGCGTTTTGGTTATGGCGCGCATAGCTGACTGGCCAGCACCTCCTCGACCTTTGCAGGGCAAGTGCATCCCTTGCCCCAACCAGCATAGTTCTCAACTCTTGATCAGCACAGCTTACGTGATTGCTGAGTAGGTCCACCGAAGGCGACTAACCTGGAGCGGGTGGTGCAAGACTTCATGCTGCGCATGCAGTTTGTGCGCTGTTTTTGTGAGAGTAGCTCTGCAGTGATTTGAGACAATCCGGAAACGACTTCAGCGATGTGTGAGCAGTTGGTGTCCTCAGCTCTGACGCGCGACACGTGCTGTTTCTCTATCCGCCTTTTTAAAGATAGCCTTGAGGTAGCTTGTAGCCATCCAAGCGCCGACGGGAACGATTCTGCAGGGACCCAGGTTGGTTCAAGAAGATGGCGGCTTGCGCTTGCACATAGTTCCACTCGGCTTTTGAGCCACCGTCCGTGTCGGGCCGCTTGTCAACGTGCAGGGAATAGGTGAGTTTTGATGTGGCGTGGGCGGGACCATGCTACGCCACCGTGTTGACAAGGACTAGCAAACTCACATTTTGGCTTTCGCCGAGCTCTTGGCCACTTTGTCTCGCTTTCTGGTTCAGGGTTCCATCCTGTGCGGCAAGGAGCGCGTCTCACCGCGTGGACGCAACCCTGCGTGGGACCACGGTTGGCTCTGTGCCTCCAGCAAAGGGGATCCGACGTTGGATTCTGGTTTGCTCACAGCTTCGCGTGCTGCGGCTGCGCCGTCGGTGAACTGTGCTAACGGAGGAGGGGAGTTTGGCCAGGGCACATATGGCTACAGGGTTTTAAAAGGGAATATCAACATAGTTGGCGGACGTCAACTCCCAATAGACCGTATTGACCAACAGTTTGCGCATGAATGCCCAAGGTAAGCATGTTGACCACACTGTTCCCAGGTAGAAGTTATACTCTCAGCTCTTGCGCCAATGTTTACTCAGTTTTCTGTTGGCAGAGGCTGGCGTGTCGTCGTGCTCGGCCACGGCAAGGAGCTTGCCACCAGTCTGAATGACATGCTAGGGGTACAACGCTCTTGCCCAAAATGGGGTCCTTTTCTTAAAGGGATGTTCGAAACTCAGGTTTCCTCTTGTTGCGCACTTTGCGCTTCCCTGTTTTTTCCTTACAGTGATCTTGGTCTGTCAGGGACCTCTGGTCCGTCAGGGGCACTTAAGATCCCAATGCTGGTGGTCGACTAGCTTTCCTGAAGCCACGTTGAAGAGAACCATGGGCCAATAGTTAACCCCGGGATAATAAACTTCTGGCTCCCGTTGAAGAGGGGGTCCGTCACTTTTGGGGGGAAGCACCCTCATGCATCCAGCGTGCATTACCATTGCGCGCGCCTGTTGCCGCAGCATGAGACGCTCCTATAGTCTCTGGGCTGCGGTACTGGCGCAGGCGAGGGACAGGGGCTGCGGGGGGCTGAGACCCCCAACTCACTTCCCAAGATTCCGGATGTATATTTGGGTGTATCAAGTTGAAAGGCAACGTAGCTTGACAAGTGCTGCAAGCACCAAGCAGCAAGAAGGGACACAAGAATAGTTTGCAAACACCTGCAAAATGGATCAACAAGGAAGATGTGCAGTGCAAGGGATCATTTTCAGAACAAGCTTGAACCAAAACGTTTGAACCCAAATGGCTATGGACTTAGAAATGAGCGCAACAGGAAACGTGAAGCAAGGTTTGCGCAGATGTTTTGTGATACGTGGTTAAGGAATGCTTGAAGAAGGAACCCGGCAAGTGAACTGGGCTTGGTTTGCGTGAGCCAGACACAGGCAAATGAGGGTTAATGTTCCTCTTTGGTTTGTGTTGGCCTTCGCTTCCTGTTTGGAACTGCAAATGGGATAGTAAACAGAGGGGTTGTAAACACGTCATAGGCAAGGCAGATGACACGCAATGATTGCTTTGACCAACTCAGGTCAGCAAAGGCGCAAGCAATGATGCAGCTGTATTTCAGTTGGCATGCCAAACCTTGTGCTGCTTCCATGAGCCGTAGGGTTACCGTTGCCAATCGCCTCCGCTCTACAACTACTCGTATAAAAGGAAGAGTCGGCAATCCAATGGTTGTCAACACTGCAGAGTCATCCTATGGTTTCAGAAGGCGGAATCTTGTGAGTGTTGACAAGTTGTGAGCAGAACCTGAGCAGACCATCGCACTAACTTTGGTGGCCACTTGAGGCATTCATTGGGTTTTCCGAACGTGGTGAAGGATGCCGCCACAATGGGCCTGGTTTCCCTCGGCCCCCGTTCAGAGCCATCCAAAACGAGGCGAGTTTTTTTTCAATGGTGTTAACATGTTGAGGCCAGGCAGGAAGGGCCAAACTTCACCAAATCTTGTTGTTAGCGCCCGACTTCTGACCTGAGCCGGAGCAGTGCCTAAAATTCGTTGTCATGAGTGTATTGTGTGGGGCTTCGCTATCTGGTTTGATGGGCAGAGCAGTGACGGCCTATGTAAATCTGAATAACTATATTGGTGGATCCAATGTCAATGGGTTGTAGGCACTGCTTACGTGCGAAGAGTCCAGTTGAGCGATTCCACGGTCATTGCAGCAGCAGCACCTCAAGAGACCGAGAGACCAAGATCATGTTGGCATTTCTCTCTGTGTGTAGAAGCAATCATGTCTTCGATATTTCGCGATGCCAAAGGCCCCAGACTCAGGGAGATGTGTTGTGTGCACGTTTTCTGTTTGGACATGAACCGCTGTGGAGTGGCCGAGCAACCGTCAAAACGCTGCACTGTTTTTGGGTGGTTTTCGGGGGATGCCAGAAGGACAGCACCCGGCACATTCACCGAAGCTTCCCTAGTCAGTTGCTCATGTGAAGAATCAGGCATGCCCTGCAGATCATACCAAATGCTCAAATCCTGGGTCTCAGCTTGATAAGACAGTGTCCCTTTTCAAGCAGGCATGGGTCTACCAAACATAAAAGTGGGTGTGCTCCATGGCACATCGCTGTGCATGCGACTACAGAGAGTGTTGTTTTTTGCAGTGCGGTGTATGTCATGTGTTGCTTTTGGGGCCCTTTTTTTCGAGGACGCCCAAAACGAAGGGAAAGGCCATGCAGGAACGAAGGGAAGCAAGGGCCTAAGGGGAACCAAAAATCCCTGCTGTGCCTGGGTTCCAGGGCCGAACCTCCTTGGCAGACACGAGGGAGACCTGGGGGAAGCCCTTGAGCATTTCCAAAAAGAGGACAACGCCTTTGGCAATTGAAATCTAAACCCGGGTGAAGGGTTCAGGGTTTCCTTTCCGGTTTTCTTTCATGTTTTGCTTTTCAAACAGGCAAACCTGCTTTGTTTTTGGTGTTCTTTTTTAAACCGCCCCCCTTGACTTCAAATGAGTCAACTTCAGAATTATCAAAGACCACTTTATCAACGGCGTTTCATTCAAGACTGTTTTTTTGCATTTCCTTGGAGAACGATAGGGGGCTCACTAAAAACGATACCCCTCTGAACATGGTTTGTGAACATGATGCATTCATTCACGTCTCAAGTGTCATTCCGCTTGCAAGCACTGTGGAGCGTTGAGCGGCGTGAGCGGCTCACAAGCCTGGCGCAAGCTGCGACCTTCGAGCTGGAGCTGCCGAAGTGTAGCTTGTGTACCGCGCTTGTACTGAAAGTTGCGACTTGCGACCTGGAAGTTGCAGCCAGCAAGCAAAACCGCCTAAACCGATGGCTGGGCCCAAGCGCGAGGCCGCGCGACCCTTCACCAACACTTGAGCAGACAAGGATAGTTTAGTCCGCTGATCACATGTCTACCGCAAGGCAGAGAAGGCTATTGTGTGCTTGCTTGGCTCTAATAGCATATAGCAAAATGTGAAAGTTTTCCGCAACTTGACACACGCAACGATACCCCCTGTCGATACCCCACGGATACCCCTGCAATGTCCCGGAGTTGCCAATGTGAGGCCTAGTGCATTTGCTTACAAAAGACAAGCACGCATCCTTCAGCACACATCCTTCAGCACACAGAAGCCGTTGGGATCATGATGTCATGCCTCTTGGGCTTCGTGATGAAACAGCACTGACACGAAGACAGTCAGCCCAACACCATTCGCTGGCAAACTCAGCGGACCAGGCATTTACAGGGTTGCCAGATGCCCGCAGCCTGGTAGAGAAGCGACGGCGCCGGGCAGAAAAGCAGCGGAAACGAGTTGCAGCGCAGAAGGAAGCAGCAAACGCTGCTGAGTCCGACAGCTCCACATCCATCCTCCTCTGGCAGCGACAGCTCAGCCAGCGAAGAGTGAAAAGGTGTGTGGAAGCTTGGGATTCAAAATATCCAGTTTACCCTTACCCTGCATGACTGCATGCTGCTTGGGTGCTGGAGATGGAACCCGCAGAAGGTGGCGCTTCGTGTTCGAAAGACTACGCATGTGGCTACGATGCCAATGCTGCGTTTGCGTAGAAAGTTTGTTGGGCACGTTACGATTTCGCACGGCGCCACAGCGAGAGCGCTTGGGCACGCAGGATCCCTTCAGAGGGTTCGGCGGGCACTTTTCAAATTCGCACGGCGTCACAGCGAGGGCGCTTTGACGCGCGCAATCCTCGCAGAGGTTTGGTTGGGCAGCTTACGCATTCGCACGGCGCCACAGCGAGAGCGCTTCGAGGCGTGCGATCCCTGCAGAGGGTTCATCGGGCACTGCGCGCACGCGCGAAACGTGGAGAACGATAGGGGACTCACTAAAAGCAGAATGAATACACCCCACACAGCAAATATTGACGCTGGCTCAAATGGGGCCAGGCCTGGCTGGCGGGGCAGACCTTCATGAAGACGCTGGGCATGCTCACGGGGGCCGCTCTGGCTGCAAAGGGGTGCTCGTTTAGGGGACCCCACACCCCCATTCTAATTGCTCGCGCAATGGCTGATCGTGTCTCTCTCTCTCTCTTCTCTCTCTCTCTCTTTTTCTCTCTCTCTCTTTTTTCTTCTTTCCTTCTGTCTCTCTCGGTCTCTCTGTCTCTGACGTCGCTGTCTTGCTCCTGTGTTGTTGCTGTTCCCGTAGTCGTGGATCCTACTGTCTCTGCTGCTGTTGGCCTGTTGCCTGTTTCTGTAGTGTGCTGAGCTGATGCTGCTGTTGGTTCGCCTGACTTGTCGTAGTAGTTTGGCATGTGGTTGCTGTTGCAGTTGTTGTACTTACTGCTGGAGCTCCCCTATGTGTAGGATCTCAGCTACGCTACCACGTAAAAATCAAATTGTTGTTTACCACAAGTGCATGTGCTGTTTTTGTTTTTGTTTTTGTTGGCACAAAAAAGTCAAACCTGTAGTCTGCACAGCTCCTATTTTGCATGGCCCTCATGTAGTGATAAGCTGAAGGCCAGCTTGTGATGTACAAGCTATGTAGTACCACACCACCATTGATACTTTCTCTTTCTTGCCTCTCTCTCTCTCTCTCTTTCTTCTCTTGCTCTTTCTCTTTTTCTGTTTCTTTCTCCTCCTCTTTCTCTTCCTCGTTGTCTTCCACTCCTCTTTTTCTTTCTTGTTCTCTCCTGTCTCTAGCTCAATTTCCAGTACGGAAGTTCCTTCTAAACTTTAGATTCTATGTTTCTCTCTTTTCGCGGTTGGTTTCCTCGCCTCCCTTTGAATTACGCGGCTCAGGCCCACTCTGAGACAGACACATACCGATACGACTGCGGATGTTGGGTCAGGCTAACAGGCTGGTAGTCATCAAACTCCGCTGCAAGTGACTTCCACCAAGGATCCCCAAACAAAACTCACACCCATTGGTTTAGGTTTCCGTTTTGTCCGAGACCAGGGGATGATTCTGAAGGTGAGAAGTCCCGCGGATGGACATCAACCGCTTTGGTATCACATCTAGGGCAATTTCCGCAAGCATGCGAAGACGATATTATTTCCAATGGTCCAAGATCTATAGGACATGTGCTTGATAAACAACATGTCATCACAATGTGTTGCGTTTCCTGTCCATATGTTTCTTGCTAGTTTATAGCTTAGATAGTTTCACATTCTTGCACCGTCAGTTGATGGATTCACTTCATCATGGTTTTTCGTTTTATTATTTTGGTTCCGTATTGCCTTTCAGTCGTATATCAGTTGGTGTGCTTCTAATTGCGGCCGAGGTCGTGTGCGCTCTTTGCATTCGTGTTGGTTTTGCTGGCATATTGAGTTCAAACTTTACCAAGCCCCTTTTCAGTGACGAGGTAATGCCATTAACGCTTGTTTGTTCTTGCAAAGCGCCTGGATTACCTAGGTTGACGTTGGTGACGCATTGGAAGGTGTCATCCAGTTTGCAGGATTGTCATACCTTGGAACATTGTTCTGGGGATGCCCAGGTCAGCTATGTCTCAGGCATCGACTACTATAGAGGCAGGGCATTTGATCTAGCTGGGCTCCTTTAAATGAACATTTTGAGGGGTTCTTTTTTTTGGGGGTGGTTTTTAAGTTTTGCTTTCAACCGCCATGAACAAACACTCTAATGGACCCAGTCTAAATTTGCGAAAGGCGCTCAAGTCAGGGGTATCAGCTACACTTTGTGCTTGGTTGCTTTGTTGCCGCTGTGCAGGAATTAACGAGCGAATTGCGAAGTTGTTGCCAAAGGGGAACATTATGGCCAAGAACTCTGAGATGGTGATCGTTTCAGTGGATTGCGAGGACCTGAGAGGGTCATGTATCCATACATCCCGCTGCCTCGAAATGTGTTGGAACGCTCCGAAACCGGCGTGGGGCAGGTTCTAGCGGTTGGTTCCCCATGTTCAACCATCATTCTGCTTGGCACACCCGCTGCTTTGTCAGTGTTTCTTGTGTTTTTTTCTGACAAGGATCAGCAAAGCAGAATGGGGGAGCCTAGAAGAATCTGCATGTGCATGAAGTCCAAAGGGTCCAACCAATCAAGATTCACACTTAGGTGATGAATATGTGCGGCTCCTCACAGAGAACGATACGCCGGGCGTGCAGGACTGCCTTCACCAGGATTACTCCGATCAAGGCTTGAAACATTTCAATCTTCTGTGTTCCCTTTACAAGTGTGCCAGGGTCAAATGGGAGCACCACTGATCAATGCCATTGGCGATGTGAGCCACAATCAAATTCTGTGTAGCCGAAGGTTAGTAGGGGGCAACCAGAGATAAATGCTGCGCCCTTATTCGTCATGGCTTTGGATCAACTCCTATATTGCCAGGCTTTCACTACGGCTCATAAGTGGTTGTGTGCCAAAGCTACTGTAGTGACCATTTGGGGGACAGGTGGCCACGATGGAGTGCCGAGTTTTGACACATCTTCCCTAAACACAAAAAGGGGTTCCCCAAAAGGAGATTCCTCTAAGAAGCCATGGTTTTGGGGTTCCGCGTATACTGAAGTCTTGGTAGGTTGCGCTGCCATTTATCCCGGGCACGACAGGGACTGGAGCTCTAAACTGGCACAATATGCATCAGACACAATATGACACAATATCATATGTATACATGTTTTGATGCCTCCCTCTAAACACGTTTGGGAGTGGAACATGTCAGAGGAGTACCTCGCTTCTGGGGTGGCGAAGCTGGACCGCGCCGGGGTGGACTTCCTGGTCATCGCGTCCAACACTGCGCACATTTGCTACAGCCGCTGGACACGATCCCCAGCCCCTAGATTTGTTTTGTAAAATCGGCCCGCAAAGATTGCTGGTTTCTTTTTGGTGTCCTTTTTATATCGTGAAAGGGGGTTTCCTCTATTTTGAGTATCCAAAGATTGGGGGACGGAGTGACCCCTGGATGTCCATGTCTGTTTCATTGGTTTGTTCCATGGCTCGGCTTGGGGCGGTTCTAGCAAAAACGGGTTCTGGGCCCGGCCAATCAGAGCACTCCTCGGCCTTCTTTTGAGGCCCCTTTTAAAGTGCTGGAGTCTTTAAGGGGGCTAGAAAAAGTCCCAACCGGGTGAGTGAACGCCCTGTCAGGGATTTCATTTTTCGCCGTCTTGAAGGGGGGGCCTCTAAAAGGTTAAGCATTCTGTCAACCCACCACCCGTATTTGGTCAACGTTCAGCTATCTTAGTGTTGGGTTTTCACTTTCGGCCAACCCAGCAGCATAACCTGCAGAGTGGATGAGTCAAAGGTCTAACACCGATAAGCGTGCGATTTTTGCGGAGCTGCAAGCAAAAATGACAGTGTTTTGAGATGGGCGATCGGTAAATGTGACACTCCAATGACCTACGCAGTGTTGGCTGATTTACTTCTGGCATCTTGTGCAGCAACACAATATCCAAACTTTGAGAAGTGCACCGCCAGCAAGCGCGCAGCTGGATGGGCACACGCCCGTGCTCCCTGAGCCCAGGCGTGCCTGGCAGTAGTTGAAGACAGCGCCTCTTGTGGATTTGGGAACTTGTCCAAAGGATATCCAGGCCTTAGCAAGGACCCTGACGACGCTGGCAGACGAGCAGTGCCAAGGTTGGGCATTTGTTTCGCCAGATGTTGCTGTGGGAACCCAAAGGTGTTTTAATCCATGGGCTCCCAGCTAAGGCTTGGTGCGCGAGCGCTTTCCGCGTTTGCCTGTCCTGCACATTGCCGATTGCTTGGCCGCGGCCATCGGCCGTGGCGCGACTGTAGGCGCGGCTTGGGTTTGGCTCAAGGAACAGACCTGGTTTGGTGTCCAGCACTTCTTTTAGGGCTGGCTGACAGTGATAAGTTTTTTTTTTTTGCACTGAGTTGGTTTTGGCGCACACAAACACGTGCCACCCCATTTCCACTCTTGAGATTTGCTTATCAAACGTGCCGTGGAGAAGACGTTTGCCTGCTCGGTTTGCTCCATCGTTGTGGAAATAGGGTAGGGCCACTTTCTATGCTACCCAGGCAGGGAATCTAAGTGAGAACGTAGTCGGAATGACCCATGGTATCACGGATTTCGAGTTTGCATGTTTTGATCTCGAAGGCCTACTGGGCACGGAGCCGACCATGCGAGATGGCTCCTGGTTGAAGGACTGGCACAGCCAAAGCCATGGCTCCTTGCATGCGCAAACAATACGGAGTTCACCTGAGATAAACGAGCTCACCCAGGAGTGTGCCTTACATGGGGAGTTCGCCTTACATGCGGATTTGTTATTTCCGTTTCGTGAATTGTACACATGCAGATACAATTGGGTGAAAGTAGATGGAGCAATTGAACCACTTTTGACTTACTGTAGTCCGCTTTACTTACCCACCAGGGAACTGCGCCATCTAGTTTCACCCTGGAGTTGGGTTGACAGAAAAAACTGCCGCTCGGACTTCCGACGCTCTGACCAGCTACAGAAATGCCCAGTATTGAGCATTCGGATCACCGGATTCTCATAGTGCAATGCCGCAAGGACAGTAGCTAGCCACAAGCCCCAAACTAATTTAACGATATTTAACGCACTGCTGTGCAGAGCGGGCAACTTATCTCATTTGGCTCTCCAGCTGCGGCTGGGATCTTTGCAATTGATGTGAATGAGTGACACGAATGAAAACAATTCCTCTTCGACATGCCATGCGTGTGTTGGATCATGGGTGCGTGTATTGGCGTCCCTTTGTGCAGCCATTTTTAAACCAACCCTTTTGACCTTTGTCACGTTTGTTTCATGTGGTCCGAAAGCTTCCTTCAATTTCCAGGTTCTTTGGGTAGGTGAGCTACCAGCTTTGAATCAACCAACAGATAACCTAATGCATACTTGGATACATACATAACTCAATATATATATATATACAGATAAGTAAACAAACATAATTCAACAATAACTACATAAAAGCAACTAGACAAATAGTCGACAAGTCAATAAGTGAGCAAATAAAACAATCGCCACCTACATAAATATATACATACAAACACAGCTGGATTAGACATATATATATATATATAAATTCTACCAAAGCTGACTCTGTGCAATTAAATAAACATATTAATAGATGAACACAACAAACACCTCAATATGTAAATAAATGAGCAATAGCTAAACAAACAAATAAGTCAATACATACATGCATAAACAAATAAGTGATACATACCAACGTAATCTGCATTTAATAAATCAACAAATACGTAGCTCAACAAAATACATAAATCAATATATACATGAATAAACAAGCCAATAATTGGATAAACAGACACAATCACATAAGTGAGTATAACATTATCTATTCCACAAACATATTGTAAAGGGGGGGGGGGTAAATATGGCTTCATCTCACGTGCTTTTGGATGCACGACGTCAGGAGCGGCTCGCCCAGCATGGCGTTCAGGTCATCGTGCCACAGGAGGAGGAGCAAAGGCGCGGCATTGATCACGCTGGATTCGCTGGGTGGACGAAATCCATTTTGCACCAGTTGGGATGCATGCTGCTTGAATGCTGGGCGAAGTCACCTACCGCTGAGGAAGCTTTGGATGCAGAGTGGCTGATCACATATGCTGGTTTAAGCACCCGCTTACTAGGGGTTGGAATGGATGGTCATTGACCCCTTTACAGCAAATTTTGACAATCATTACGAGCTAGGGATTCCGTGTAAGGGAGCCACGCACACCACGAACACAACACACCTAGAGAGCCTTGACCGTAGCGCACATGGCCATGCGTTTGAACCAGGAAGCCCTCAAACAAGCGGTTGTTGAGCATAAAACTCATGCAAATGAATCCATGGGTCAATCTGTAATAAACACTGACTTCAGCATTGCGTTGAGCTGCCGGATGAGTGGGGCGTTGTCCCTTGTCAAAGTGAGGCTTTGCTCGGAGTGGTGTGCGTCTAGTTGGTTTTTGCGGTGTGTGGTTATGGGCTGTTAGCTTACCAGCAGCTGCGTTTTCCAGGTTGAGCTTGATCACGCTTTGCTAGCTTTACACCTGGCGAGTTTGTTGATGTAGGCAGATGAGTTGGCCTTCCTCGGCGTTTGCCAAGGATTTGCTTGGTGCCACCCTTCTGAAAGATCACACTGAGACTGTCAAGCATCAGCTGTCAGCAGATTGATTGTGGGAAAAGGTGCAGGACTGTGCGCAAGTGTCATATTGCTTGGCTGGCACGAGCCATGTATTTGCAGTTGTTCGCACTGCGAACGTTTGCTTCACGGGCATGGTGTACAGGTTTTGCACCACCCAGAAGGCTCAGCAAAGGAATGCTGAGCGAAACTAAACTCCAGCCATCGAGCGCATTCTCTTATCCAGCTTTCAGCACGATCTAATCGTTCTGCTGACAGGTCAGTAGACTCAGTAGACCTTGATGCCCGTGTGTTTTTTTGCAAGCCGTCCACCTGCAGCAGAGATTGAATCTATGTCAGAATATATATATATATATATACATATATATATATATATACACAAATTATGGGACCCCCCAGGATGGTGCTCTTCCCTTTGTTTCCCTCTACAACCACCCCCAAAAAGAGACCTCTCAAGGAACAACTCCTTTTGGTTCTTTGGACTGGTCTTCTTGTCAGCTGCGCTTTGGTTTGTCTCCGGCTTGCCAAGTTCGTGCTAGTGCTTTGGACTGGTCGCCTTGTCAGCTACGCATCGGTTTGTCTCTGGCTTGCACGTGGAGCTGGTGCTTTGGACTGGTCTTCTTGTCAGCTGCGCTTCGGTTTGTCTCCGGCTTGCCAAGTTCGTGCTAGTGCTTTGGACTGGTCGCCTTGTCAGCTACGCATCGGTTTGTCTCTGGCTTGCACGTGGAGCTGGTGCTTTGGACTGGTCTTCTTGTCAGCTGCGCTTCGGTTTGTCTCCGGCTTGCCAAGTTCGTGCTAGTGCTTTGGACTGGTCGCCTTGTCAGCTACGCATCGGTTTGTCTCTGGCTTGCACAGCTGAGCTGGTGCTTTGGACTGGTCTTCTTGTCACTGCTGCGCTTCGGTTTGTCTCCGGCTTGCCAAGCTCGTGCTAGTGCTTTGGACTGGTCGCCTTGTCAGCTACGCATCGGTTTGTCTCTGGCTTGCACGTGGAGCTGGTGCTTTGGACTGGTCTTCTTGTCAGCTGCGCTTCGGTTTGTCTCCGGCTTGCCAAGTTCGTGCTAGTGCTTTGGACTGGTCGCCTTGTCAGCTACGCATCGGTTTGTCTCTGGCTTGCACGTGGAGCTGGTGCTTTGGACTGGTCTTGCTTGTCAACGCATCGGTTTGTCTCTGGCTTGCACGTGGAGCTGGTGCTTTGGACTGGTCTTCTTGTCAGCTGCGCTTCGGTTTGTCTCCGGCTTGCCAAGTTCGTGCTAGTGCTTTGGACTGGTCGCCTTGTCAGCTACGCATCGGTTTGTCTCTGGCTTGCACGTGGAGCTGGTGCTTTGGACTGGTCTTCTTGTCAGCTGCGCTTCGGTTTGTCTCCGGCTTGCCAAGCTCGTGCTAGTGCTTTGGACTGGTCGCCTTGTCAGCTACGCATCGGTTTGTCTCTGGCTTGCACGTGGAGCTGGTGCTTTGGACTGGTCTTCTTGTCAGCTGCGCTTCGGTTTGTCTCCGGCTTGCCAAGTGCTCGTGTCTAGCATCGCTTTGGACGTGGTCTCGTCAAGCGTGCTAGTGCTTTGGACAGCTACGGTTTGTCTCTGGCTTGCACGTGGAGCTGGTGCTTTGGACTGGTCTTCTTGTCAGCTGCGCTTCGGTTTGTCTCCGGCTTGCCAAGTTCGTGCTAGTGCTTTGGACTGGTCGCCTTGTCAGCTACGCATCGGTTTGTCTCTGGCTTGCACGTGGAGCTGGTGCTTTGGACTGGTCTTCTTGTCAGCTGCGCTTCGGTTTGTCTCCGGCTTGCCAAGCTCGTGCTAGTGCTTTGGACTGGTCGCCTTGTCAGCTACGCATCGGTTTGTCTCTGGCTTGCCACGTGGAGCTGGTGCTTTGGACTTGTTGCCCTGTGAGCTGCGCTTCGGTTTGTCTCCGGCTTGCCAGCTTGGTGCTGGTGCTTGCGACTTTTGACTTGTGGTTTTCTCTTCCCTATTCGAGGTTCTTTTCGCGCCTGCTTTAGTTCTCGAGGCAGCGGTGTTACAAGATCATTTGTGACGAGCTTAGCTTCGAGATCTTCAAGGAGGAAAGCAGCTGGGGTCCTTGCACGGATGCTTTTCTTGGGGATTGAACCTGACCCTTTGCATGTCGCTTGTACCTCCACCGCAACCAACAGCAAAGACTTTATTTTTAGCCCCGACCCACTGGGCTTCATCACCATTGTGGGCCTATATTGATCGAGTTTCCCTTGGAGGTAATGGTTGAGGGGGACATATTGGCACCCTGGAAACACTCGCCGGGAAGGGGAGAAAGGTCTGCATTTGGCGAACTTGGTGACAGAAGGCAAAGTATCCAGTAGTCTATGGTATATTTGAGATGGACATTCGACATGGGGCGCTCCCTAGATTTCCCACAAAAACCACCAGGACTGGGCAATTTTCCCATATCCATTGCCGGGAGACCGTGGCTCACATGGCATGCAAGCATGTCACTGGCACAGGGCGCCACTTGCAATGTTTCATTTGGCTCTGACTTGCACTTGGGAAAGCGGTTAAATGATGTGTGCCTCACTCGAGGCAGTAGTGAACAAGTGAATTTTGTGTGGTGGACCGTTCTGATTTTTGAACCTGCCATGTTGCGTTTATGGGGCTGTATTGCTTCTCGATAGACGTCCTTCAGACGTCAACCTAGTGAATCCTACCCCACCCCACCCGGAAGCGACTCTTCCACTCAAGAAAGCCCTATCAATTTCGGTGTCCATTTCCGATTTTGTGATAGACCCACTTGGCGCCACCAGCTTCCTCGCCCTAACCCAAGGCCTTTTCATGACGAAATCCACATTGACATGACACCCATTTGGATTTGCCTCACAGGCTTGCTCCGAATCTCAATGGCCAAACTACAAGGGTAGAATCGTGGCATTGGGTCGTTTGGTTTCCTTTTTCGACCAAAATTACCAAAGAGTCCAAAGGCGGCAAATTCTGTAGGGGCAGTCTGGGCTTTATGTAGAGCCTGGGGCTGTCTGCAACGGGTCTTTGCAGCTGACTGGATCGTTTTTGTGCGGTCTGGCAAACATGCTGGGCTGATAGTCTTTGAGCTCCTTTCAGTTTTTGATGCTCAAGTTTGGCCGAAATCTCGAGCCCTTCTTTCTGCAGCCGACTGAATGCTGCGTCCGGGCTGTTGTATTCGGGGATTCCGTGCTTGCCATCGATGGCAATTGTACGGGCCAATCTGGCAAGAAAGCCTTCGTTTACATGCCCTGCCACATGCGTCAACCCACGATCATTGCAGACGAGTGTGAGACGGTGAGTACAAGAATATTTGTTGTGGCGGCTTTCTGAAGTTCCCCCCGCAGTTGTTCTGTTTCCCTGGAAAATGGAGGCATGTATTTGGTCACATGGAATATTCATTTTGCAGCATGGTGTTTGGGAAAGCAAAGCCTGTTCTTTTTGGTTGTTTTCCTCTGGGGGTTCCAGAAATCCCTCAGGAGTCCCGAAGCTTCCTGGGCAGCCTCTCGCGGCAGCTGAAAGCGCAGGGCGCCTCTGGTGTGATCCTGGGCTGTACCGAGCTGGAGCTGCTGCTGCGCCAGGAGGATGCATCCTGGATGTGTTCCGCCAAGTTTTGAGTTCATTTGGGAGCGACATGGGGCGAGCTCCAAGTTTGGGGACTCAGTAAGTTTCCCGTCTCCTCTTGCTTTTTGGGGGGTACTGGCGCTGGAAAATGGTCGGAGACCGCAAATTTGTAGGCTCCCCCGATTTCGACACGTACCCAGCTACAGTTGGAGTTAGTAGTTCCTGTACCTTCTGCGCCCCCTCCTCTTAAATGAGCCCAAGTGGCAGCGCCAAACACCCTTATGAAAGGAGTTAAGGGCCTGTCCTAACGAGGCCTCGCGAAAGCTAGAATGCAGGGCGCGCAAGCCCGCGAAAGCTTGCGGCGAAAATGGTTGAAGAAAGACTGCCGCGAAATTGCGAAAGTGTTTCAGTGTTGCCCGCGAAAGCTCCGCGAAAGTGATGATTACAAAACACATGCCCGCGAAAGTGAAACGCGTGGCCGGCGCGAAAGTTTTCGCGAAAGCGGTTTGTTAGTAGAGGGTTTTATGTACCCTATTTTTGGCACCGCTTCAAGTGATGGGGCAGAAGGGCATTAAGGGATTTTTGTGAGAAGACATCTAGTTGCGGCTTTGGACGAGTCATGTTTGTCAGCTACACATGTTGGATGCATGCCACTCTACCTCCAGACTCGGACTGTTTTCTTCCCCTTTAGTGGTGCTGATATTTCCAGGAACTGCCGCGCGATGTATTTGCCTGCTGTACGCAGCGATCCAACCGCGAAGTAAGAGCACGTCCAGCAGTGGGTTACCTGTACATGCGGCGAACACATGATTGAAACAGCACCACTAGAATGCAACGCCGACTCGAAACTGGGTGCACGTTCTGGGTTCCGATGCAGAGGGGCTTGGCAAAGCTGCAAGTGGAGAGAGATGAGTGCAACGCAGGCAACGTCATGAGTGAATCATGAGATATCATGAGGCCTGGTAAGATTTTTAAAGATATATGCCTAATATATGCAGTGCAGAGTCCACGCCAGCTGCCTGGGGCTCCAAGCGCTCACAAGTACTTTAACTTTGGCAACAACAGGGGACTCTGCCTGACTTGCCCTGCCCCGTCGTGAATGCAGTTGCAATGTTCAATGTGGACAGCCGCCCTGCTCATTGCACAACCTTCTGCCCCCGCAATTTTATGGGGTCGCCCTTCCCTCTCCAAACAGTTGCGCACAATCATCAAGGTACGGCTGATATGAGCACATATTTGTCACACATCCTAACATTGCAGGCCCCTGCTCGCAGCTCGGTGTTTTAGGTGCCAGAGGTGCTGCTCTTCCGATCCGCGGAGCTGCATATGGACGCGGCAGCCAAGGTCAATGGGACGATGCGTTGCTAGTTGGACGTGTCTTTGTTGAGGATTCCCTTGTTGGTTGGCGTTGAAGGCAAACCAAGAGAGCGCAACCATGTTGCCCAAAATTGGTTGCTCAGACCCATTTGGGAACTTTCCTTTATCTATAAACACACTCTTGTTTGGGTTTTTGGGATGGTCTGCTTTTTGAGGAAGGCTATATCTTTGCTGGTTTTCAAGGGAGGCCTGAATTTGATCTGGGCCTTTTGAACGTGTCCTTATGTGCCTTTGTGGCACGGGGATTTAAGCATCACCGTTTTGGCCATAAGATTGGCGTCTGGTTTCAAGGGGACATGTAAGCACTCCTCATTTGGTGTGACCGTTTGCCCATGTTATTTCACCTTTCCCTTTTGGGAGAGCTTACTGTTGACTGGCCAGAACTGGCGACCCTTTTGGGCTCGCCTCCTTGGAATGGCGCGTCCGAAAATGTGTTCTCAATGTGCCAAGCTTGTTTTGATTAGCCGGGTATTTGGCTCAGCAATATATGTTGATTCATGTGTCTCTCTCTGTGTGTGTGTGTCTGTGTGTCTGTGTGTCTGTGTGTCTGTGTGTCTGTGTGTGTGTGTGTGTGTGTGTGTGTGTGTGTGTGTGTGTGTGTGTGTGTGTGTGTGTGTGTGTGTGTGTGTGTCTGTGTGTGTGTTTTTGCGGGTACCCTTTTCAGTCCGTTTAGAGGGAAAGCGACAGAACAACCACCATGTAGTGGGTCCCCCCTGGTTTGACACATACCCATATGATATAGTTTGGTTTTGGAAACTGCCAAGCAACCTCTTGACTCTTGACCACAGGCCATGCGGGGCTTTTGGGCCCCTTGCTGTCAAAACCAACGGGGAATCTGCCCAAAAGAACTGGCTCCGCTCCATCGCTCGTCTTGCCAGGTCCAGGCTGGGGAGAAGAGCATCGAGGAGTTTTTGCCGAGTCGGAGACTGAGAGCCTTGCGATACGTGGAGTTGCTTCCTGAACCTCAATTAATCAAGGGGCCGATGGGCCACTCGGACGGGACCCCCTCACTCTTTCTTCTTTAGAGTGCTTGAGAGTGGCCTCTAGATTTTGTTGATGAGGCGGGCGGGTCACACCTGCTCAGCCTCAAGGAGAAGCACCCCAAGAACCGGAAAACTTGGACATCTTACGTGGTTTTGGCATGGGACTCCCTCATTCTAAACGCTCTAAGTCACTCTAAGGCACATTTGTTTTGGAGAAGGGAGGGAGGGGGAGGGAAGGGGGAAGGGAATGGTGACGGCCTACCTAAATGGAGCGTTTTGCTTCCTATTGCGACATGCACTTCGCCGTATTTCATGTTCAGCCAGGTGAGCCCTGAGCGCGAGCTTCGCGAGACCTGCGCTAACGGCGTGATTTCTGCGGGCAAGAGGGCTACTTACGAAGCTCGGCAGACCTTCGCGAGGAACTTGTCTCGGACTTTTTCTGACATCAATCCCCATGAAATCTTGTCAACCAGAGGGTCCCCATTCAAACTCACATCCAAATAGGAATTCCAAAAAAGGGCGTTTCAATCAGTTTGGTAACACCCCAGGCTCTGATCTTTCAGACACCCAGTGCTATATTAGTGGCAGGCAGGGCAACTGCTTTTGTCCTGCTCATTGAGAGCCCGTTTTTGTCCTAAATTGGGCGTTTTGATTGCACCGGGTTTGATTCTTTTGCTGCTGGATGGAGACGAAGACTAGTTCACGATAGGCGATTTCCTTGCTACCTATCCGCACCGACACGCAAATTCATGTGCCATATGCCAGAAACACAAAAGTCTCCAAATCTTTCATGCCCATAGAGGGTATAGCAAATTTCGACGGCAAGTTTGTCTGGCTTTTGTTTGACCTTAGGTCCGTGTCGAACCCGAGATGGCGGACAATCAGATGCGAGGGCCGAGACGGACCTGCTGCGCTGAGGTGAAAGACGTGGCGTTTTTGGAAGCTTGTTTTGGGGTGAGCTGAAGGAGCGCCCTAAACCTCCATTGGCAATTTTTAGAAGGGGAGGTTCTACGGTTCTACGGCTCTACACACGTAGAGATCATTGGGTTCTATCGGTTCTATCTGGGTAGCGTAGCTTTGCGTTTCAATCGCTTGAGCTGGCGTTGGTGGCTTCCACTGGTTGGCATCGCCTTGCTTGATTCGCAGAGGCTGATGGAAGGGAGCCGAAGGTGATTAGAGAATTTAGAGACTTGTGTGTTTGTTTTTGTTGAGGGTGACCTTTTCAGGTCGTTATAAACCGAACCATTTTTGCGGGTCTCCCTATTTTTACGGCAAAACCATCGGGGCATTGAAGCTCCCGCCAAGTCAACACTGCTCGTGTGGATGGAGGCGACTCTGGATCTTGGTGTTCTGCAACTGAGATGTGTTCCGATCAAGCTGCTCAAATTGGTAGAGGGAATTGACACGGAGTTGACACGGCCTCACTATATAATTTGCAGTTGGCTTTTTGTCCCAGCTGCTCTCTTCAAGAGCTCGTGACTAGGAGTACCCGTTGTTTTTAGTATGCAGGATACTCAGACACAGCCCTTCGTGCGCCTGAACTTGACCTGGTACTGCAACAGCAACTCTTGCCCATCTATTTCTTTTCAACTGGAGCTAGCAACCTACGTGGGCGTGTTTGGCTCAGCTCCAAGCTGACACACACAAACACACAAACACACACACACACACACACACTCGCCACAAGGCATATAGCAAGTTCCCATCGGCTTGACTTCCGCGACGCCATGGCGCTCACGGATTTGGAGGCGGTGTGCCGGAGCGAGGCAAGCGCCGATTTCACCGGTGAATGGGGCGACGGATGTGTCACCCCTGGGTCCTCGGCGGTTCTTGTTTGTGCCATATGTCCCCCTCCCAAATTTGGGAGTTTAAACATTTATCAGTTCTTCTTTTGCGGGGCTTCCTGCGGCTTTCCTCTTTTCTTTTTTTTTTCTCCCGGTTTCTATTTCTCCCCTCCAACTCCCAGAGGGCTGACAGGCGCAGCGAGTGGTCTCCGCGCTGCGCGCCAACCGCCGCTTCGGCTCCCAGAGCCGGAACTGGCGGGAGCTGGAGGCTGGGCTTTGCCCGGAGCATGGTCTTCCTTTGGATTGACCGGGGTTCCTTGTTGGTTTCCTGGGTGCTCTAGGGTTTCTAGCCATTTTCATTGTTTTTTTTCTTACCCCCCCACTCCCTCAAAGTGACAAAGTCATTGAAATTAAGGGCAGACTCCCATAATCAGACTTGCACACAGAGTTGCATTGTGACCTATCCGATCCGGCTGGTCACATCATCATAGTGGGAGTCTCCAGGACCCGCAAAAGCTGTGGTCATGGCCCCTTAATTTTGGAGTAGTGAGCCCATGTATAGCTGGTCGCAGTGTTGTATCATGAGTGACAAGGATTCGTAGCTTGTTGATCTACTTGAGATGCCATTGATGGGGATCCACCGGTGCAGCTTGGTCTGTTGGAGGGCCGCGGGGTAGATTATTTGCGTAGCTTGCGAGACATGGGAATGCTTCTTGAGACAACATGCTGGTAGGTGGTCGGAAGGGCTGTGGTCAATATGACTGCTCTTGCCCAAACGGAGCCCTTCAACATCATAGACATCCCATTTTCTCAGAATTTCACGCAGTAGGTGAAACACTTCTCACCAATTGAACATGCTAAGCCTGTTCATTTAAGTTCGGTTTCGACACCATGCTCTTCCTGGACTTGCCTTCCTCATCTTCTGGAGGGCCCTGCATCCATTTGGGTCGAAAACGAACCCCCGCGCCTTTTTGTTATGTAAGGGCCCGTCCCGTAACTTTCTTTGCAGGCCCGGAATACTGTAAACCGATGCTGAGGAAAAAGCATGATAGCAAAGCAAGATTGCAAAATCAGAAATTTGCAGGGGCCACACCGATACCCAAAACGATGCCCAACCGATACCCAACTCATTAGCCGCCATGCCGGATCCAACCAGCTGCCCTGGAGCTGCCAAAATGTACTTTGTGTGTGTACTACAAAAGTTCCGACTTTTGAGCCGGAGCAGCCAAAATGTACTTCGTAGCCTGCACTAAAGTACACTTGTACGGAAAAGTTGCGACTTTCCAGCCAGAGCTGCCAAAGTGTACTTCGTGTACTACACTTGTACTGAAAGGTTGTGACTTTCGAGCTGCCAGAGTGTATATGGTATAGTGCACTTGTACTCAAAAGGCGCGACTTTTGGGCAAAAGCTGCCCAAACGCTGCAAGCCGATGCAGAGGAAAAGAAGCGATACCATGCGATACCAGGGCATAAGGTAACAAGGGTTGTCCACATGTTACGCAACCTGATCACCAGTGAGCGCCTTTCGACTGGGATGGGCACAAGCAAAGGGTTGTTCGGTGCCACGAAACATTTCCTTAAATGGGGACAGCTTTTGTGATTTCCAAAAGAATCCACCAAAACAGGGCGGGTTGCCCCAAACAAGTTCACACTGCTAGCGGAACCTGGGAACACTCGCAAGCGCGCGTTTCCATCTTGCCTTTGGTTTGCCTTTCAACTGGGTACCATTCTGAGTGACAAAACATGTGCAGTGACCCCTGATGTGTTGAAAGGCTCGAGAAGAGACGCGCTTCGCCCGTCAGGAGTCCTCGCCCCTGCGCCAGCTCTGCTCCTGGCGCAGCGCGGGCCGCCCCGTGGAGCTGCTGGACCGACAGCGACGTTTCGCCCGGTTTCAGACCGCCAAGAGCTGCGTGCGGACCTCCAAGGGTTGCTTTTGGGAGTTGGAATCATTGGCATGGTGCTGTACAGCCCCAAAAGGCTGTTGTCGTTTTCCCGTTTTCCTGGAGGAGATGTCCCTTTAAAATGAAGCACCGAAAGGTAGTTACGGTATTGCGATTTCCTCTTGTCAAGTACTGCAAGTTTCCCTCGTTGATGTTGTTTTGAACGACACTTGCTCAAATTATAACGAGCTCAAGTCGGGGATTGCGCTAGCATACCCATGAAGACCCCTGGGGAATAGTAATTTCAACAAAGGAAATAATCCAAATGTCTCAAATAGGGAACCGCCCTTCTGGTTTCATAGTTTTATGTATTTCAGGCTTACCCCATGATTGCCCCTCACCGGTTGACACCACGGCGAACAACACGGGAACGTCGTGAAACTTCTGCTGTGAACGACACGATTTGGCCGGTTGAGCCCTTGGTCTTGGTGGTTGGTTTGGCCTTTTTTTGGAGGTCCATGCGATTTCCATTTCAGGGACAGCTTCCCAAGGTGGTGAGGACCACTCTTCAGAAACACATATTTAGCTTATTATCATTTCATCAAAATGAGTAAAATTGAGGCAAAAATGAGTACTGCAAGTGTGAGCCTTTGACAAGGTCTGTTTTAGTGATGCTTCTTTTGAGAAGGAGCTTGCAGTAGGTTCTCTGGTGAGCCACCATCCAAGAACCAACATGAAGTTTAAACACCCTATGCTGCTTTTGTTTAAGAATCAACACGTCAAACAAATTACAAACAATCAATAAACAGATAAACTAGCAACCAAATAGATGCATGATCCAAAAAAGAGGAAGCCTTGTGACCGTTGCGGACTCGGAACTTGGCTTCGCGTAGGAGCCATTGCTGTGCATCATCCGCAGCCCGGAGTTCGGGGGCCCGGCCACCTTCGTGGCTCTGGAGGCGGCTCGCTTTGGTCAACCTATGGGCTGCCTGTTGTCATGTCAGGCAACCCCTCTGTTTTAGTGGTTTCGGGATTTGAACAATTTGAACCGAACCATCTTTGAAGTCAATTGCCAAAGATCTTTGTGGACATCAACCGCAGTGTGCCCTTTTTGCTGTTGTTTTTTTTGGACGGGAGAGGGGGCCCTTTGAAGTCGACGAAAAAAGACAGCCCCAAGTCCCAAGCCAAATTTTTACCAAGCCTGACAGGGGATCACCACCCGAGGCACCCGGTTGGCTTCAAGGGCTCGACACCAGATTTCACACTCGCTCGTTCTGGGCGGAAACCGCTCCAGCGGCCGGCCTTCACACTGCCAGGCTGCGCAGAACGTGGTCGTGGCCATATGCGAAGAGAGGACTGGCTCACCGTCGCTTGGGGAGACAAAAGCCGCATCAGGGGCTTGCGTTCGCAGCGACTAGACACGATGGACAACTCATGCGGGCACCCGGCATCCTTTCCTCTTTTCCGCTGTTGTTTTGCAGGTCAACGTGGATGAACTGGTGAGTAGCTACCTGCCCTCCAACGATCATGGAATCTGACAAGAGGGTATTTTGGAAGCCTACCTTTTTTGTGCAAGCCCCTCAAACCCCCTATTGGCCGCTTTAGTAAGCGGTTCTACCTGAGTTAATTGGGGTACAGTAAAGCCTACCTTTACAACCATCCGATCCAGGAGCCCAGTCCAGAATGAGGCTCAGAGGCTGGCGACGAGTCGCGAAATCACGGGTCACCTAGCGCAGCTTCCTTGCTTCGAGGACTTGCGAAACGAGTGGCTACTAGCAAGTGTCTAAATTTGGTCCATTGTCATGTGGGTCACATCATCATTCGTAGTTTCCTTGTGGAATTGATTCGGTTTGAGGTTTAGCGGATACTCTTTGAGATGATGTGGACTTGTTTAGCCTATTTTGGGCCTCGAATACACCAACATCAGTGACATTAGTGCCCCTTTGTCAGAGAGAGTATTTGAGTTCATTATGCCATGACCTCGAGCTTGTACTGAGCGAGCGTGGTGCTGCAAAGTTGAACCAGAATATTGATTTAGGCGGTGCGATACCATGCTGACACGATTCATTCAAACATGTTTTTCGCCTCAGCCCCAGCATCAGAAATTGCCAAACCCTGGCAGGGCTGGCCGGCTGTACTGATAGGAGTGCGTTTCTAAGAGCTGTTGATTTCTGGCTCTTCCCGCTGGTTCGTTCGTTTATTTCTTGTGGCACCTCAAGATTGGTTGGTTTTTTTTGGGTTTTCCTTGAGACTTTGGGGTACCCCGAATTGCTCACGCATC